CTTTCTGTTCCCTCCCTGCTCCCTTGAGGTCGGGCTCCATCATTTGTCCTTGTCTCTTCTAGACAGGCAACCTCCCCCCACGCCCGCTAGTTCCTTTCCCTTCACCACCACTCCTGTCCTGCCCGTCCCCCCACCCCCGTGCCTCTCTCCAGGTGTCTTACCCAGACAGACCTCCTCAAATGTGCATATAGACTTGGGACTTTCACTTTCCCATTCTCACCTTCTCACCTCTCACTCCTCAACACTCTGTAGCACCTGCTCCCACTATTCTAACAAAATATGCCTTGGGTCTAATTGAGTTACAGATGCAGAGCCTGAACTTCTAAGCAGAACTGTATTTGACTCCTGCCTCCTCCACTTATAAGCTGGAGGACCTTAAACTTGCTGCCTAGTTTCCTTGTCCATTAGTTTCATCTCTAGGATGAGGGTAATAGTAGTAACCAGCTTTATTGGATTCTTGTAATATTGAGTGAGATCGTCAAACACTGAACAGTGTCTGCACGTGCCAGGTGCTCAGCAAATAGTAACCACGAATACTATTACTACCACTATTAGTAGTCACTTGAAAGATTATTGCCATTATTGTTGGTTACAATGCTAAATCTAGCTAAAAACCCTGAACTAAAAAAATGTACCCTACTGAACTCACACAGCCAAGAAAACTTTACTTTGCAACCTCCTTATATGTGTCTTATCACTTGACCTAGATTAACAACAAACTCACAGTTATTAACAACCACACCTAAAACAAAAGCAAACTAAAAGGACAGCTAGATCAGGAGTGGAAACAGAAATGAAGATCTCAAGGAAGGTTAGCAACAGGGGAGTGGGAGGAGGAGAAGGGGGGAGAAGGTACAGAAAATAAGTAGCATAGACAGTAGATAGAAAATAGATGGGGGGGGCAAGAATAGCATGGGAAATATAGAATCTAAAGGACTTGAGACACATGGTCATAAACTAAAGGGGGGGTAATGGTGGGGACGGGGGGTAGGGTGAAGGGGAATGAAGGGGGGGAATAGAACAACTGTAATGGCATAATCAATAAAAAATTAAAAAAAATAACCTTCCCTACTTAAACCAGCATCTGCTCCTAGGAATCCTCTCCATACTGATTCCGGGTGACTCCAGTCACTTTAGCATACACATGAAGCCTGGGTGCATACACTGGTTGGGTAAATGTATTTGTGTCATGTGAACCAATATGAAAATACAAAATTAGCCAAATGTGAGAACCTTAACCTGCACTGCCTTTGAAGCAACAAAAATATCTACACCAATGTTCTTCATGTAGCTGGAATCAATAATTACTGACGGACAGTCTGTCCTTCCCATGATCAGTCACAGCACGAACAGAAAGAATATTTTTAGCATCATGTTTGAATGCTACCTGACAACTTGGAAACTGCAACAATTTGAACCAATGCAGGCAATGAAAGGAAAGCTTTATTACTGGCTCTTCTGAAATTATACCTAATAGACACTTATAGAAGGTTAGCATGGACTACTCTTTCATCTCCTTGCTATTCTCAGTTTCTTTTTATCCCAAGCTGGGTGTATGATACCTATGCTAATTAGGAAGAGGCAATAATAGGCAAAGGCGACTGCAGTAAGTATGTTCAGGATGGAGCCAAACTGCACAGCAAGATCTCATTCCGGTGATAAAAACAGCTACACTGAGGCATGTAGTTTTGTCTAATAATTTATTTCTTGGACAAGCTCCTGATGCCCACGCTCCCTCCAATACTACTAAGTGGGAGCATTAGCATGGGGTTCAACTGGGAGGCACCTTCTCTCGGACCGTGACTCACCACGACTGCATCTCCTGTTTGGATCCTGCACACCAACCCAATTCCTCTAGGATTCAACACTGATTCACTTTACAGGGAAGAAAATGAGTCCTAATTCTCTCTCTACCTTTAACACTTTTCCTCTCCTTGTCTATCAATACTTCAAAACAAACTTAGATCTTAAAAGTCTGTTTAAAATTAATTAAGCAGGGAATGAAGAATTCACACCTGGATGCAGGACCTTGGTAGGGATGATGATGAGAGTGATGATGGTGAAAAAAAGAACATTTACTAAGCATTTACTTGTACTAGGCCCTGTGCTAAGTACTCAACATACAGTCTTTGCTTTAGTGCTCACGACTTTGAGAAGTTGACATCATCACCCTATTTTCCATTTCAGAAAACTTGCCTAAGGTCACACAACTAACGAGATTCAAGAATGGCATTTCAAGCCTGTTCTCTCAAAAGGCAAATCTCATTCATACTAAAAATCATGTGACCTTTTACTGTGACCTGTTATTAATTAGTTTGTGCAAAATTAAGTTTGTTTGATTTTACTATTGATGGCCTGCCACAGTAAGTCTGTCTATGTATTTCCATACTAAAAACTTAAGTTCCTCATTTAAAAAATGGGAAAGAATATGAATGTTCAAATATTTATTTTTTAAAAAGCAAATATTAAATGTCAGTTACTTAAAACTAAAGGGAACTAAAAAATAAAATAAAATAAAAACTAAGGGGAATTCCATTCAGTTCAAGAAGCAGTAACTACTTAATATAGAGGCCACTGTAAGAATTCAAAGACAGCACTGCCCCCACCCCCAAGAAACTAATAATATAGTGGGAGGGACACAGAGTAACATTCCAGGTCTCACTTTAAATATCATCTCTTAGAGACCTTAGGAGGGTCCCTTATGACCCTATCGAATTTGTCACTCTGATTGTGGTTATTTTCCATCACAGAGGTCAGCACATTTTTTTTGTAAAGGGCCTGACAGGAAATAATATAGGCTTTGTGAGCACACAGTCTCTGTCCGAACTACCCAACTCTGATCTTGTAGCTCAAAGCAACTGTAGACTACAAATAAACGAATGAGCATGGCTGTGTCCTAATAAAACTTTATTTACAAAATAGGCAGTGGGCCAGATGTGTTCATAGGCCTCAGTTTGCCAACCCATACTCTAACACATCACACTGTTTTTGCTTCATAGCACTTAATAAAAGCTGAAATTATCTAGCTTATTGATTTTTTTTACTGTTTTCTTCACAAAAGTATGATAGCTCCAAGATAGTGGAGTCCTTGTTGCTTGTTCAGAGCTTACTCCCCAGGGCCTCGAGAGAAGTTCCTGGTACACAGACAGTTCACTCTAAGTGTTTGTCAGTTGACTAAATGAATGAACACCATTTCACAAAAGGAGAAGCATAGATGGCCAACAAACACATGAACTCTATTTGGCCTTATTTACAGTAAAAATTTAAAGACTGAAAATGTTGCTTTTCACTTGTTAGACCTATGATGGTTAAAAGAAGAGGAGAAGGCAGAAGAGGAGGAAGGGGAGGAGAAGGGGAAGGGAGAGAGGGAGGGGAGCCGGAGAAGAAGAACGTGGGTAGATGAACTGGTGAGGAAAACGGCCCTCTCATCCGCAACTGATGGGCAAGGAAATTGGCGCAACATTTTCAGGGAACCATTTGCAATTACACACCACAACGTGTATGCCAACTCAAAAATAGTCAAAGAATTGAGCAGCCATTTCTCCAAGGATATGTGAATGGCAAATAATGTTCATTATTTAGATGTTCAACTAAACTAGTCATTAGGAAAATGCAAATCAAAATCACTGTCAGATACCACTTTATGCTCATTACGACGGCAATCATCACCTACCCCCCCACCCACCAAAAAAGAAAAAATCAAATGTTGGTGAGGATGTGGAGAAACTAGAACACTTGTGCATTCATGGTGGGAAAGTAAAATGGTTCAGCTTCTGAAGAAAACAGTTGGGGGGATCTGCAAAAACTGAAAAATAGAATTACCATATAATCCACCGATTTCACTTACCTATATACCTGAAAGAACTGAAAGAGGAGACTCAAACAGCCACTTGTACCCTGTGTTTACAGAAGTATTATTTATAGTAGTCAGAAAGTGGAAACAATTTAAATATCTAGCCACAGAGGAATGAATACACAGATGTGATATATTCACACAGTAAGATGTTATTCAGCTTTAGAAAGGAACAAAGGACTGACGCATGCTACAACGTGGCTGGACTTTGAGAAGACGGTGCTAAACTAAATAAGGCAGCCACAGAAGGACCAGTACTGCATGATTCCACTTACACAGGGTACATGGAATAGGCAGAGTAGAACAGAGGTACAAAGTAGAGGCTACCAAGAATTGCAGGAGGTGAGAAGAGAGATTTCTTATTTAATGGGTACAGAGTATCTACTAGGGATGATGAGAAGGTTCTGGAGATGAACAGTGTGGACAGTTGCACAACACTGTGGGTGGACAACACCACTGAGGTGTACACTTACAGGTGGTTAAAACTGTAAACTTTACATTATGTATATTTTATTGCAATGTCACTTTGTATTATGTATATTTTATCACTTTTCATTACAAGCTATTATCCCTAGGAATTAACTCTAAGAAGATAATGGGGAAAGGTGAAATATGTATGATATATACTAGAAGCTATCACCCTCAAGATCCATGAATAAAATCTGGTTATGTAAATAAAGCCTGACACAACACATACATAAAAGAGACTATTATGCAGGCATTCAATACAAGGTAAGCTGTCACAACAACAAAAAAACCCCAATAACGTCCATAACATTATTATTGAATTAGAAAAAGCAAGATATAGGATGCATATACAGTATGATCCCATTGATGTAGAAATCCTAAAGTTTATATCTACATGGAAAATATCCGAGATATTCTCCAAAATGTTAACAGTGGCTATTCTCTGAGATAGATCTGAAATGACTTTAACATTATTCTCTTCATAGTTTTCTGTACTAGTTGATTTTTAAACAAAGAACATTTTTAAACAAAATAGCATGCTCTTATAAATTCATGTTTATCACTGTTTCACATTAATTAAGAAGGGTTAGGCCCTTGATACTTTCATAATAGACGTTTCCATTTCCATAGCAACAACACCTGTGAGTGCATCAAAAACGGTTTTAAAAGAAATACATACCTCGGATAGTGATGGTGTTTCTGCCTCAGTCAAAAACAGACTTATTATTTCAAAGCAACATTCGATAATCATGTCCTAGAAGTGAGAAAACAATGTAGTAAGGTTCATCTTACTGGTAAAATAATAGATATTTTAATTATAAATTATTTATTTCATTTGTATTTTCTTGCGTCATCAATTAACTCCAATGCTCAGGTTGAGACTTGGAGGGACTCAGAGGTCACAATCCCTTAAGTAATTCGGGTCATTTGAAAAGCACAGGATAGCCACAAAATATAAGATTTAATTTAAAAGAATATATTTTTAGGATTCTTTCCCTATATTGTCACTGTTAAAAGCCATGTTTCAGAAGAGTAACAAAGTAATTCACACTAAAAATAAGATTTTGAAAAGTCACTTTTCTTCTTAGACGAGAGGCGTGGAAGAGAGTCCAGAAACAGGTTTAAGCAGAGGAGAAGGGTTGGGACTGGGGAGGAGATGCGAAGAGGAAATGAATGGGAAGTGGGAGTCAGTACCACACGTCATCTACTATTGACGCCCCCGCCCCACCCTACTGACAGAGCTCTGTTCCTGTGTACACATCTGACCCTGAGGAGTCCACCCTTCGGCAGGGCTGAATCAGTCAGGTTCTTCACCACTGTAACTGCTCATAAGGAAGGACAACGAAGGGCAGCTATAGTTAGTACCTGCCGTATGAGCTGAGAGGTCCTGATACGGGAGCTGGAGGAGGCAACCACTGGACCAGATGCAAGATGAGTCAGAGGAAGAAACAAGAGGTGAACTTGTGCCCCCTGTGGAACCGAGCACACCTGTGGCTCCTCACTCTCCAGTCCACCTCCCGTGAGGCCCAGTGGGTACTGTTTCCAGTCTGTGGCTGTGCATGAGCTTACCTTCTGGACCTTGTGAAATGCTACCTCTCCACCTAACCTCCTTTTTCACTTGAGTTCGTGCAAGTAGGTTTTCTTCACTTACAATTAATTAGAAGAGTCATAACTCTAACACTGTCATTGCCAGTATCCATCCCTGAAGGAAGCAACAATTTGCTTTTATGGTAGTATATATGTATGTGTGTGTATACATACACACATTGTATATATGTATGTATGTGTGCATGTATTATACATGTATATAAAATACATATATTTATGTATTATATACATACATATACATATATATGTAATGGTATTCAGAAATATTAAGGTGATAAAAGTATATTAATTCTTACATGATAACTGACCACTGCTGGTTAAAACCTGAAAATAAAAAAGCAAAAAATGGAACTTGCAGCCCCATACAATGTTATATCCAAGTTTTAATAAATGTATAAACATAGAAAAGATCAAATTTTAGAGTTCCAAATTTATACCTAATTTAATTTACCTTTTTAAGAAGATTTTGTTTATTTATTTTTAGAGAGGGGAAGGGCAGGAGAAAGAGGGAAACATCAATGTGTGGTTGCCTCTCCAGTGCTTCCCCCACCAACCCCCAGGGGGACCTGACCTGGCCCACAACCCAGGCCTGTGACCTGACTGGGAATCTAACCAGTGACCTTTTGGTTTCCAGACCGGTACTCAATCCACTGAGCCACACCAGCCAGGGCAATTTAATTTAATTTAACAAATACACTTAAGGGATTGTATTAGGTACTTTGGAATACAAAGAATACAGGCCCTATCCTCCCAAAGTTTATAGTAGCTGAGAAAAATAGATACTTACACAACTAAATGAAATACCAAGCAGAATGTGGTCAGAACACGCGTCATTATGACATGTTATAGGAGCCTGAAGGTGGGAGAGAGAAAGTACGAGCACGATGCACAGGGAAGACTTCCTGGAGAACAGGCCGTATGAACAGAGAGTGACCGCGTAGTAGGATTGCACTTGGTGGAGAATAAAGACAAGGGCATTTCGATGGGGGAAGCCCAGTAAGCAGCAACACAGCAGGCATTCAGGGCACACAGGGATCGGACGTGGTTTTTGCTGTAATTTGTAATTTTGGTGGGTAAGAAATTGAGGGAATTCAGGTGCTTTCAAAAGATAATTCTGGCCACAGTTTAAAGGTGAACCGGACTGTTCTAACTGGGAAATGAGACTTAAGTGTGAAGTTAAAAGGTGAACGTAAATGTCCTCGTACACACACAAAATGGTGAACTGGACCGGAAGAGACAAGAGAAGGATAAATCAAACTGCTTGTGCAGGAAGAGATCACAGCTAAAAGCAGGGCGGCCTCAGTGGGACTGAAAAGGATGGAGGGCAGGAGGGACCCCCAGCACTGCCCAGGGAATACCAGGCTCCTCTGATGAACTTTCCAGGCTCCTGGTTCGTTTTGCTAGACAGAGGAGAACACAATCCACTCCTATACTCCTGTCATTATCTAACTTTCTATATTTCTAATTGAGTTCTTAGGACTAGTTCCTTTCTTTCTATATGAAATGTTTCAATAACATCCACAATGGGTTACTGTCATGACTTCAGCAAGACCTACCAAGTAAAACGGTATCAGTCAGGATTTCACATTAGCAGGTGAGCAGCAGTGCTGTCTGATGAATGCCTTTCGCTGCCTGTTGCAACACTGATCAAACAGGAATTTCACCTCAGCAACATGCTGTGGCTTTGGCACTATCTGAGGTAAATCACAAAACACGTGAGAAACGGGCTGACTCGATGTCGGGCTGTGAGGGACCTCACGGGACCTCTCGACCACAGAAACGAAGTCAGAAAGCGCCAGCTCATCTGCCCGTCTGGAAGGTGCAGGAGGAGAGCCGTGGTTGGCGAGGAGCCTGGGAAGACACAGAGTGGCCCTGGCTCAGTCCTGTCATTTCTCTGTTAACAGGGAGCATCTTGATTCTATGGTGGATGGACTTGTGAATTACTTTCTAATATAACAAAGCCAATTCTTTAACTAAGTTGAAATCCTCACCACCTTTCACCTATAACATGGGGAAAGCTTCCTAAATTGTTTTTCATGCTCCCGACTCTTGCTTCCCTCATCCTTCCTTCACATGCCACCAGAGTTCTCTTAGTAAGAGGAGTGTGGGGCACAAGATGCCCTTCTAGGCGTTGCCCTGCCCCTGCACACACCCTGTCCTGCAGCACAATGCTCATTCACCATTTACTCATTCAGCATCTACTGAATGCATCCTACGTACCAAGGGGTGGTAACAGGAGATGAAGGAAACAGAGAGAGAGAGAGAGAGCCCTTGAGAAGTTCATGGTCAGGTGGGAGGAATAGGAGAGACAGACTTCCAGCACTGTGTGAGATCAGAGAGTCAGAAGTGCCCAGCTCCACCATCTCTTCAGCTGCATCTCCCACCACATAACCTGGTTCTCTGGCCACAGCACTGGCTCGCTGTTCCCAGACTCTGACAGTCAGTGCCATGACTTCACATCGCATCTCCTGCTGTACGCTCAGTCAGGAATGAGTGTGCTCCACGAGTCTCCCACTAGAAGCTTCTCAGGCAAGTATTGAAAAGGCACTAATGACTTCCCTACTGGGTAAGATATTGGACATAAAATGATACATAAGACTGCTGAGCATGGTAATACAAAGTCAAGAGAGAGGAAGAGACACATAAACAGATAATTGGTGCAACAATATGGTAGGGGCACAAGGTATGTGGGGGTACAAAAAATGTCCTTTTAGTTTATAGAAGTTATAAAGTGTTATCTGAGCTATTTAAGCAAATACAAAGTAAGCTCAATTCTCTCTCCCTCTCTCTTTTTTTCTCCCCCCCATCAGTATAAATAAGATCTAACAATTAATAAATTAAAATAGTTGGCATCAACAGCCTCGCCACCAAGAGGGAAAGATTCCACAACCTCATGCTTTTGAATGGTGCAGAATCCAGTAATGGGGGAAAAGGTTTTAAACAAGAAGTCAGAGACACCAAGTTGAACTACATAATAAAGAGCTGAACCAGAGCAGGAAGAGAACAGGATATAAAACACTCCGCACAGACCAAGATGGAGGGAAAGTTTGAGGAGTTTGAGCCAAATAAGGCAGATGTTGAAGATCGCTGTGGATGTCAGAGAGCTATTAAGAGCAAGATAGTTGAGGAAAATAAGCTTTTGAAGAAGTTTTGCTGTGTATTACAAAAGGGTTCCCTCTGGAATGTTATTACAAGAGACTCTATAAAGATTTAGATTGTCTTCAATGGTTTTGAACATCAAACTGATGTTTCTTTAAGTGCCACACTTTGCTTCCTAAAAGAGGGCCACCAGGCAGCTGGCTCATTATGAATGGCATCTGGGTACATAGCCAAACTCACACAAAAATTTAGTTCCTCCATGATAGAGACCTAATTGTACTGATTTCTGTATTTCTTATATTCCCCAGGCCTGGGAGATTTTTGCAAATAATTGCTTCTCAAAAATAACTCGTTAATTGATACTGATGTCCAACTTTATTTTGTTCTATGTTTTGATAGTACTTTGATATTTGGGATAATTTGACAACACACTCATTTTAACTGCCTTACACACTCCAGGCCCTCCATGTGTTTGCTGAGCTAACCTCGGATGACTTTGGTAAACACAATTGAAGCCTTTTGTAACAGTATGCTATCATTCCAAAAAGATGTTTTTGTCTTAAAATCAGGGTGGTTTGCATCCTTCGTATGCTGTAAAGTTCCTGATGTACTCTGAAGCTGTGATGTACCCCCAAAGCTGTGAGTGACAGGTTAAAACGACTTGGCCATTCTGAGCTAGTACTGTTCATTTTTAAAGAAGGACATACCAGGTTTTCAAGCCAGAAGTGACTGAAACACCTGCTCTGTAGCCCTCCCAATGCATCTTAAATTACTGTTTTATGAAGTTCTTGGCTTATTCCAGACCACAGGGATTTGGGGCGGGGGAGAAAAAAGGGAAAGAAATGGGAAAGAGAACAAGATTTGCCACTCCCCATATCAACCAAAAGCATATTTTCTGGACCCTTATGTTTAATAACCCACCAAAAATCTATACTGCAATAGATATTAATATATTCGATTATAAAGTTTATGAAATCCTGTCCAATTCTCCACCAGAATCAATCTCTTCAAGCATCTTAGTTAACTCCTAATTAGCTTCCAGTGAAGGTCGTCATGGCAACAAACTGGCAGATTCAGTCAATGGGATATCATTTGCTATAATCCAAAATCTAGTTGTTGCTTTTTTTTTCTCTTAAGTGCTTGTTAGTACATTGGAAAAATGGAAATTTTGTATGTTCCTTCCATTTCCCAACTTTCAAATGTTATGAACTAATTAGTTTGCCAATTCACCCAAATACTAGCTTTTCTTCCATTTCATGACATTCTGTCTTACAAAGCACTAACGGAACTAAAGCACATCTAAAAATGCCCCACTTAAAGTGGAAGAAGCCCTTTCTAAGTTGGATAATAGAATAAATTCAAAAATACAGAGGACAATGTCGGGACAGAAGAAAGCTTTTCTACTCAAGAACGGACCTGCTCATATATGCCATTCTCGTCAGGACTTGAGAGCAAGCCTCCCGCCTTGGTTAAGGCAGGCCCGTCCTCTGGATTCCTCCCTCTGCCCCTGCTCCCCACCCCCCACTTACTCCTAATTTGTTTTTATGCGTAGTCCACCTCTTGGCTCCGACACTGGACTCTCTGTGATCAATCTGACATCTATATCTGACCCCCGGGGAAATTCTAATGACTCTCACTCCAACAAAGGGGGCTCATCTCTTTTTTGGAGTGAAACGATCATTTCTCTTTTTATCCTCACTGGAGGATATTTTTTCATGACTTTTAGAAAGAGAGAAATGGAGGGAGGGAGGGAGGGAGAGAGGAAGAAACGTCGATGTGTGAGGGGAGCATGGCTGGTTGCCTTTTCATACACTCCCCAACTGGGGATCAAACATACAACCTGGTCTGTGCCCTGACTGGGAATTGAAACTTGACACTTTTGGCTGTGGGATGACACTCCAGCCAACTGAGCCCTAGGAGCCAGGGAAAAAGGACCATTTTTAGAAATGAGAGTAAAACTAGTCCCAGGACAGGTACTTAGCCCCATAAAACCGAGTGGCAGTGTACAACCCAGAATCTTTGCTCTTCTCTCCTGCCTTAGGCAATCTAAGCTAAAAAGACAAATGCAAAGGAAAATAATCATCTTCCATATATAACCTATACAGTTAATGAATGAAGTCAAGGATGGTTTCAGCAAAGAATAATCTAGAACATGGCTCAAACACAGCAATCTGATAGGTTTGGTCTGTGACTGAAAAATTGCAATCATAAGTGATCTACCAAAGAAGTGCAGAAATGAAATGAGAGCTCAGTTCTTCTGGAAAATAGACACAAAAGGGCAACTGTGCAATTTAGAAAAAGAATTATATACAGTCTGCATGAAACTTCATGAGTTTGAAATAGCTGATCTATTGGGAAATTTATAGTTAGTGCTCAGTATGTCGTTAATATCATTAAATGCCTAGTAATTCATGTTGTAACATTTGAGGACCCTGGAAAAGACATGTAACTAAAATTCAAAAACGTCAGTTCTGTGATAAATGCATGCAGAGTCCAGGAGATGTAAATACTGGAAGGCTGCATTTTGCAAAGGCTAACTGTTCATGCTGATGAATCCTCTTGCCACTGGGCTTGTTGCTTCCACAATAATGAAAAATGCACTCACTCTACTGGTAAATTCGCACTGAAAACATGCCCACAACTATATCCTGAAAATCAGGAGATTTGCCATCTTTTACATTTTCGCACAGTGAGTGCCTAGATGAAGTAAACAAGAAAAAAATGAGCCATACCAATAATATTCTTTAAGAATATTGTTATTGGTAATCAACTGAATATAACCTAGCAGAAAGCAATTTAAGAAAAAAAGATACAACAGACTAAAAAGGGAAGATCCTAAGAGATTTCAGAGAAGAAAATCGGAGATGGGACCCCAGTGGCTGGAATTCATTTAGTACAAGGTGGGCAGAAGACTGTTTCTTTTCATTGCAAATGTTGTACGGCCATTTGATTTTTTAAAAAATGACCACAGTAACTATTGAATATGCATATGAATCTCAAGAAGCTGGGTGAATGTACAAATGGAAAGTCACAGAGCAAGTACTTAAGGAAAACACGTATTCTGTAGACTCCACTCCTGAGGGAGGGGCACTCCCAGCTGTCTTTGGACCCCTCGCTAATTCACTGCCAGGAGTGTGGAGTGACTTACCTGATTGGTGAGTTTGAGAAAAGCAACAGAGCATGCTAGGCTCAGCCCCTCCTGGGTAATCGTTATTTATATTTTTGGAGGCACCCTGCCTGCAGGACGATAAGCCTGGCTGGGGGCACAAAGGCAGTGGGGGCATCTTATGGCCACAGGTATACCAGATGACTATGTGCCGAGGTGGGTAAGTCTGGCTAATTCAGCAGCAAAGTATTAATAAGCTCACTTGGCCGCAGACCTAAAACCATGTTTGCTAATCAGCTTTATTAGTAATGATGCTTACATTTTGTATCCATGTATCCATTTCCTGTGCCCCGCCTCTCAGTGGGTTTAGAGCTCAGGAAGAACAGAAAGGAAAGAACCTTCTCCAAAACACCTAACATCAGTCATCATAATAACCACTCGGCAGGGTGAACTCTGACCACATTAATAACATACTGTAAGGATAGTGTCTCTTTTGTGAGGAAAAACATATGCATGGGAAAGTCTGAAAGATAAATGCTTACCTGTATGCTCTGGTTTTTATTCACACATTACTTGGGTCATAAAAATGTTCAAATAATAAACATAGAGTGAAAAATTAAAAGTCATGTTATAAAGTTACAGAGCATTGTTTCTTCAGGTTCACGGTTATGTCTGAATGATTTCTCTAGACTGGCTTTGTCTTCATGCCCCGTAAGATGCTTAAAATTGGTGTGCTTAAAGAACTTTGAGGGCAACACCACTTACGCGTCCCACAGGGTCACACCTGGTACTCCACACGGAGAAAACGGTGCAGAAGAACCACACGGTTCGAGCAGAGCTACACAGTTCTGCTCTGACGAAGTAAGAAAAGAATTTAAGACTGATGGACGTATAATGACATCCATCCTACAGCAGCAATGTAATTTTCCATCGTTTCATGACTTACTTGCATTTCACTATCAATTTGTTTCTCTTGCTTTTCTTGGATTACGGATATGTTTTCACTTGGAGTAACTTCAGGAGTTGCTGGCAATGATATTTCAGCTATTTGCTTAAGATTAGACAGTTTCTCGTGAATTGAAATAACGCTAAAAAGAACAAAGATATATTTTATTTGAAAAAGGTAAGAAGGGCATTCATTTATTCCAAGAATCAATAATATGTGTAATGTAAGTCCTTATTTATTTAACATTTAGTTTCTGCTACTCCTAAACATAAGTCATTCCTTCATTCAAGAAACATGAGAAAAGGGGCACAATTCTAACTTGCATAATGTATGTGAGCTAGTTATACACTCAGGTATTTACCTGTAATTATCTACATAATTACAACTGGCAGTGGCACAAAGAAAACTGTGCCTGACCAAAATACTGCTGAAGACGAAAACAAAGACTGTAAATATCTACATGGCCAAACAAACTCCAGGTAGTGACAAAAGAGTGACTCCTGTGTTGGCCCCGATGCCTTGCTATAACTGTCTCTGGCTGACCTGAAGGTAAGAACTGTGACAAGTTCTCAATGGCTCTAAGAAATACAATTAGTGAGCCCACAACACTGAGGTGTATTGTTTGGGGAGTGGAGAGTCGGGAGAAAAATCAAGACAGAAGGAAAAGCCAAAGCCAAGGAGGAGGGCAGAGGACCCGGTGTCAACTGTGCTACAGACGGAAAGCTTCCGGAGCCTCGGGCCAGTGGCCAGGGGATGCTCTGAAGGCAGAGTGGAGCCAGCAGATGGAAAAACCTGGAAGAGCTGAAGGAGGAAGAGCTGCACAGCCGACTCTGATACAGGCGCAGGGTCCATGCCTCAGTGTGTGCAATGCAGGTGTGCGTGTCCAGGGAAGCAGGGAATGTTTTATCAAAAAGAACTACATGACCCAAGAGAGCAAACGGGCATCAGGAAAATTTTTTATTTGGGAGTTTCAGTTCTCCACAGTGTCCTCTCATTCTGCCTTCAGAAGGATGATCAACAAGAGCAGTTCTCCACACACTGATCTTGTCTCGACCCCCTAGGAGCACAGGGATGCCTCACTGGGTGGGAGAAAGAGTCCATTTCCATGGCCCCACCAAGGGGCAGAGCAGACGAAAGGCTGTCAGCCACCCTCCCCTGTGACGGCCTCCATGATGGGGCGCTGACCTGAGTGACCCTGCCACTGATCATGAACACACCACAGAGAAGAACATTTCGGAATAAAAAAGGATCCTGTCAGTCTGATTACCTTCTATTCTGCAGAAATTATAATCATTTTCATTATGTGGCTCTGGAAAAACATCTCACCATGTTTCTGAATGTAAAAGGCAAGTGTATAATTTCCTAGTTTTGTTGCTTAGCTCTGTTGGTATATGACCTGTGCCTAGATTTTCTGTTATTTCACTAAAAAAAAAAGTTGCCCAACAATTAAAAGTAGCTCTTGAAACATCTCTTGTTTTACCCTCTTTTGTTCCAGGGCCAAAAAGAGTCTTTTGAAACGTCAATCACAGAGCTTGAACCACGCTCTCCAGGGAAGCCCCAAGTCTCTGCTCCCCGAGCACCCGCTGGGTGCCTGGCAGGACGATGGCTGACACTGACTGACACGGGAGTCAGTGATGGGACTGGACCTTTCAAAGTACGTGCACCCTTTGCTTGATCCTAACAGTAACCTTAACGAAGGCAGAATAGGTATTATTTCCATCTTACAAGCAATGGTATGGAGGCTGGGGTCATATGGGCAATGAACAGTGGAATCAAAACTTTAACTAAACAATGAAAAAATGAAAAACAAACAAGGAGCTCAGTAACATGAAACGGGAAAAACCAGAAACCACGCATGAGCACAAGTGAGGGGTTGGCCTGTTTGATGGGATGGGGAAAGCAACCTAGCTGGAACCGAGACGTTTGACCAGGGAACAGCCTCAAACATTTTAGGTAAAGAGGAAAGGCTAAGACAAGCAATACGGTGGAGTCTGGCCTTAACTTTGCAGCCCAATTCAAAGCCACGTTAAGTTACTTTTTAAATTCACCCCAAATGTAGTACAGACAACATCCTGTCCTCTCTGTAAACTTCATCGAGTGTCAGGAACTGTTCCTCCAATGACCTGAGACACTATTATCATTATTCCTGTTCTACTGGAGAGGAGGCGGAGGCACAGACAGGTTAAGGAACCGCTCGGGGCTGCAAAGGTCGTTCAGGGGCACAGCTGGTGCTGGAACCAAAGCAGGCTGATCCAGCATGTGTGCTCTCAACCACTGCATTGTCACACTCCTTCCAAGGGAGGGTGTTTTTCCAAAAACGTCCTCTAAAATTCTCCTAGGGTTCACCTTGTATGTTACTGAAATGCCCGTTCTCACGACAACGTCAACAGCGAAAGCTGAGTGGCGGGCGATCCAGCTGCACTTGCCTGTTCAGGGGAACCCAGCAAGAGCCGACGCAGGCACTGCTGTGGTTGGTGGAGCTCACGTCTGAAATCTTGAAAGACTTCAAGTTATACGCATACATCAACAAAACCTATAAGGAGATTAAAAGACATATAAAATGTGACATCAAAATTACACTTTGCTTCAAGAAATTGCATATCACTTCTCAAAATAATATTGCTAAACTTGAAAAAGTTTTTCCTTAAAAGAGAAAAATGAGGGCTTTTTGTTCAACTCCCTCAAAGAAGAAATGAACGGCGATTGTGCAGTGGTTATGAGATGAAAAGAAATGTTCTTTGGTACCAACATTATATTATTTCTGAAGAGTGACATTTCTTACTGCTGGTAAGTTTAAATCTCAGCCTTTGAAAGCCCCCCACAACAAGTTCCAAATATACATGTGGTGAATGTCTCACTTTGTGTCTTGCTACTTCCCAAATTGCCCTTTGCCCTCAGTAGCCATAGCTGCTTCTCTGTATTCATTTACGCTGTTCCCTCCTTCCTTCATTCGACACACGGTCCCTACCTCCAAGATGAAACTTCTCCTAACCACTCGGGCTCTAACAGGTTCCCCGTGGTTTGAATTCTGACAATTCTTAGAATCGGTCCTACATGATACAGCATCTATACACAGTCACAGAGTCATAGAACTTGAGGGTCACAGACCCTTGGAGATGATCTGCTCTGTGTCCCTCATTGTAGACGTAACAAAGCTGAGGCCCAGAGCTGCCAGACAAAATTGACTAGTTAGGCGCATGCTTTTATCTCTGCTTCCTCACAAATCAAGTGAATATAAGAGTAAAGGGATTTTTCAAAGAGGCATAAATCCACAAAGAACAAGAGGCGAGGCAGATGACATGCTAACACTCTGAATGGCAGAAAGCACTTCACTCAGCAGAGAGGAACGGCTGTGTCCTGACTGCAGAGGGGTCGCCAACATCTGGCATCAGGGACTGGAGGCCTCAAGGGTCTTTGACAACCCCCTTCGCATCCTTTCCCTGAGTGCCTGTCACTGGGAGACTCCCCCTTCCTTCCCTTATCTCCTCTCTGCTGGCTGAACTTTTCCATTTTGCTCTCTGCAGAGGTTAAATCAGAAGAGATCTATGCTCAGGAACATTAGGTACAGGGTGAGGTGCTGAAATGGAAGCACTGGAATGAAGAGAAAGTCTATTCTGAGTGAGAGATCTCTCCTTACCCGACTCCAGCCGCCGCCCTGCACCCCCCACCCCACTTCTGGAATGTAGGAAACCAGACAGGACTCTAAAAGTGTTCTCCTACAGGAAACGGACCAAAGAGGAAAGATCTACAGATGCTGATGTTTCAGCATCCTCCAGTGAAACTTCTGGCTCCTGCAATTACCCTACAATAGGGCCTATAAATCAGTAAGCTTGACCCGATATGCTTCCTGCTGTCTCCAAAATGAATGGAAAGCCAGCAGTCACTCGACATGAAATGAAAGGCAGCAACCAAAACTAACATAAAAGAGGGACTTGGAGAATCAGCGACAAGACAGAGAGCAAAGGAAACGTCAATGAAACCATAACTAATATCCTCAGAGAGAAGAAAGACAATATTGCATCTGTGAAATGAGAACACAGTGCTATTAACCTAGAACAATCAAAATATGAAAAAGAGCTCTTAAAAATTAAAAACTATAATCATAACAAGAAATAATAAAAGATTTGAAGAACAGAAAGTAAACCTAAGTTTAAAAACATAAACAAAGAGAGAATAGGAAAAGTAAACAATCTAATAATATTCAATATCTGAGTACTAGAAATTTTAGAAGGTACAGAAATCATCATATAGAGAAAATTATCAACAACAACAAAAAATCTCCGTTAACTGAAGAATATAGTTTCAAGATCGAAAGGAGCACCTAAAGTATTAGCATGAGGGATGAAAGACCCACACCAAGGCACGTCACGGAATTTCAGAACACGGGACAGAGGGAAACCCCCAGGGCTTCCAGAGGAGAAAAGTCCGAGAAGTGAGGATCAGAGGGGGGTCAGCGCTCTCAAGAGCAATGCAGACTGCCAGACACAACACAACCGTGCCTCCCGCCTTTTGGGGGGAAATAATTTTCAGCCTATCATTTTATGCCTATAAAAACAAGGAATTAAGCTTTAAAATTATGATCTTTAGTCAGACATTTCAGGTGTTTTTACCTTCTGCAGCAATCTCTGTCACAACCCTGTCAGCATCTCAAGGGACCGCGGTCATGATATTGGCCACTGGCCACGCCTGGATGAGATGTACTGAGAATTAACCTAGTCCTGTCCCGGGTCCTGAACACACTGTGGGTCAGCCTGTGCCATCCTGTCTGTATTTCTGCTTAGTTAGTAGGCGTTTGAGTTACACATGTATTATAAATATTATAAAGAAATCAGTAGTAAGAGTTAGAAGGCTTAGCTTCACATTTTTATTTTTGCCACTGATGAGTTGTGGCATTCATTGCTCAAGCCCACATGGGACTTTGCTTCATGGTCTGTAAAATAAGGGCATTGAACTCAGTTCATGTTCTCTTGTTTTTTTTCCGATCTGAAACTTGACTTGGGTGGTCCTAAGAGAAGTTTCCAGAAAATACTGAAATTGTTCAAAAGATGCTTAGTTTGTAACAAAGTTCTAGTGAAGAGCTTGCAGTGTGGTTCTACTATAATCTCCTAAAGAACATTTTGTCAAATGGGATAATGTCATGTCTGCCCCGACTCTTGAGAAGTTAAACTTTTCCAAATTATAAACATAACTCTGAAGTATCATGGCATGGAATATTTAGCCCTCTGAGTTATCTAAAAATTTTATATTCAAATCCCTGGTCCTGGCATTTCTACTCTGCTGCCACCAGCATCCTTAGTTTCTGCTAGTATTTCTGCTTCAGAGAAGTAGATAAACTAGAGTGGGCTGAGAGGATGAATTAAGTGATGTTAATGTATAGTGTTATCCAATGACCCTCCAAAGCCCTGGAAACTCCAAAGCCTTAAGTCAGATGTTAATTTTCACTACCACCCTTTCCAGAGTTGAGAAGCACCTGCAGCCAGGACCATCCCCTGAAGACTCAACACAGCACCGTGCTTAGGACGCAGCCTCGGAGTCAGATTGCTCCAGTCCTGACTCCATGGCAACCAGCATCCCTCCAGCCCATATCTACAAAACGGGGCAAGCAACGGTACCTACCCCATAGAGTCATTGTGAAGTGGATACAAGTCAACTGCCTGGAACACAGTAAGCTCTACATAAGTGTTTACTGGTGGTATCACCCCGTCGGTTTCATGAGCTTCAGCCAGTCATTCAACACAAAAACTCTATACTAAAGGTCAATTAAAATGAGTAGATTCACACTTGAATATACCAGGATGTATTTAAATCATCGAACAAATTTCAGTGTTAGCGTCTAAAAAAGATAGCACCTTAGGACTGAGAAGATCTAGCCAGTGTTTCCTGATTTTTGACTGAGCAGCAACCACACCTTCTATCACAACTTGATGCAGACACAGTAATTGTCACAGGGGAAAAACATCCACGAACCAAGAAATGGGAAAGCTGTGTGTTCTGTGTCTTTGCTTGTGGCTTAAGAAAATCACCCCAGCAAACGTTCAAATCAGAATTTGTTACGTGGTGCTCTGCTTCTCATCTCTGACCCCGGCGCATGCTTCCATGTTAATTGCAGACACAACTGTTGACGAATGAAACCTTGTTGTTCTAATTATCAGTCACAGACAAAGGCTTGGCATTAACTTCTGGGATCATCCTGCCCCAGATGGATACGGGTGTGATATCTGTATGACCCTGTGAAATGAACTTTATATTTGATACTTCCTTCCTTGCTTTTTTTTTAAGTAGCTTCTTAGGTAAACATTCTGTTTCCCAGGTGATCTGTCTCTTTGCATGCCCTCTCTGAATAGATAGATTCTTTTACCAGGTTGTTGGTTGTCTTGCAAGCCAGTAAACAGATTTTTACCTATGCTGAAGAGTGACCTAAGAAATTTTCTTTTTTAACATATCTACCATGAAACAAAAGTTTTGGGAAACATTTTCACTTACTATATGTGTTACATCCTGATATTTTTCCCTTGAATTTGATTTGTTTAAAAAAATTACTACTCATCCCTCACCATGTTGGCTTCGTAAGCCAAGAGTATTCTTGGAACCACAATTTGAAAAGTACTGCACTAAATTCTTCAAAACAAACTACAGATTATTTCCAAATATATATAGAATATGTGGCAAGGATTTAACTTGGATGGTGGGAAGAAAAGTACTTTCAAAATGTGAGAAATAGCTTTAAATATTTCTAAGAGTGATATCTTAAAGTTACTCTCTTTTTTATCATCAATGGGATTTTACTATAATTAACACGATAACTACAAAATAATCTTTTATGACTTAGGAAACTGTTTACAATGCAATTTTAATTAGAAAAAAGGATATAAAATTGCCATTAAAATTCACACTAAAGAGACTATTAATTAATATAACAAGAGTAATGGAATTCCGTGTAATTGACCAAGACTGGACAGGGTGGTCAGCCTGAGGAGGCAGAATGACCCCAGTCACAGGAGTCAGAGGACCCCAGGAGCTCCCCAAGGCACAGCTAGAGGGGACAGCGCTCCAGGGCCTGGGAATGTGGGCACGGACCGAGGCAGGAGACAAAGAGCAAATAAAAATGCTAAACAGGGCAAAACTATACAGCTAGCATTTCATGGTAAAAAAGCCTGAGGCTCTTCTTAGAGAACACAGAAACCAAAGAATTCCACAGTAGAAGATTCCTCTGTAAAAGGCTGCAGTGGCCAACTGTTTCACTCTTAAAGGCCTGGCTCCTCTTTAAGACGCTCCAAGGATCTGAATCACTGCTCAGTCTCCCAGAGTTCAGGGCTGATACTGAACTGCCCCCAAATCCTTGCCTCCCTCCCCTCCTGCCCCTCAGTTAGTTCTATTGTGAACGTGTACCCATGGGCATGGGCATAGATATAGATTATGATATATAGTTAAAAATAATATATATTAAAATAAGGAGTTATGTATATGATGCAAATTTGTAAACAATGTTTAGAAGCAAACTAAGAGTTTTTAAAATCCAATTTGCTATACAATTTAATTTTGCGGGTCAGGCACAGTCTACTCTGTTTTCTGCACACTGTAGGCAGTGAAAGAATCTATTACTATACGGAGGTATTGGTGCCACTCTTTACAAGGTGCTTCTAAATAATGCTTACCAAGTGTCTCACATAAGTATTTGAAATGATTAAACTTTAAAACAGCATAATGATTTAAAAATAACTTGAGATGATAAATGACAACTACTATTTATTAAAATTAGGTATTTGTTTCCACAACTATCTCTAATTACAGATGAAGGTAACCCTGCTACAGAAAAAGTTAACTAATGTACTGAAGTTCACAAAATGAGAAAGTGGCAGAGCAGGGATTCAAACCCAGGCACTTTGGCTCCACACTCTGGGTTCTAAACTGCTACACTAATGTGAAGCCACAGAAACACAGGGACAGCCATTCCCAGTAAAACAGTGAAAAGACAAAGAGGAAGAAAGTCAGAAAACCTTTAAAGAAACAACCGTTTGACCCTCCACAACAGTGAAATGAGCAGATGAGATTTTCAGTGTACTGAAATAAAATAGTGTCCCCCCTTGAATTCTCAACTCTGTAACGCTTATTTCATCAACAAACGTAAAACAATAACATTTAGCGGGCAAACGAAAATTGAGTGTTTGCCTCCAGAAGAGTCCCACCAAAGGAAATTCCACAGTATGTTGTATATAAAGTGACTGGACAGAATGTCTGAAACGCAAGAAAAAGTTTTTTTAAAAAAGCAAATAATGAATATGTAGCAAAGTCTATAGGAAAGCAGCTTGTATAAAACAACTTTAAAATAATATTAATCTGGGTTAAAAAATGCAATGTACAGTAATGACCTCTAAGTCATTAGATGAGTAAATATATTTATTAGCTTTAGACTATGCTAAGCATGCAGTTGTCCTGAGGACAGCCGCTAAAAGCACCGAAAAAGAGTAGATAATTTCAAAACTCATAGACAAACAAATTAACAATAAAAATAATCAATCCAAAGGAAAGGAAACAAGAAAAGAAAAACAGAAAAGCTGAGACAAATAAAAACTCAAAATAACATTGTAGAGTTAAAACCAAACACATTAGTTTTTATAGTAAATGTAAATGTATTAAATTCTTCAGTCAAAATACAATATTGTCAGACTATCTTTAAACATATTCAATGGATATCTTTTATTAACAAACACAATTAAAACACAAGTACACAAAAGGGTTGAAAGTAAAAGGCTGGAAGAAACACATTGAAAACTCCACAAGAAAAGCTCTTTTCCTCTACTAGTAACATCAAAAGAGACTTTATGAGGAAAAAAGCACTAGTACAAAAAGGCCACGAATCGCTTCAGGATGGTAAATTCTCAGCTCAACTACAGTTATCAATGAAATTGCACCTAAGAATACAGCTTCAAATTATGTAAAGTAAAATTTCACAGAACCACAAGCAAAAAGTAGATAATGCTAATCCCTGTGAGAGATTTAAAAATACTTTTTAAGCAATTAATTTAAAAATAAAAAGGCAACAAAAGTAGAAAAATCAGCAAGAATATAGAATACCTGAATAAGACAAATTAAACGGACCTATAAGACAAATATGACCAACTGCCTCAACAACTGAGGAGTGAATGTTCTTTTTAAGAGAAATGGAATATTTACATCCTGGAGAAAAGAGCAAGTTTCAACAACTATCAATCATAGAGAGCATTTTTTATTACCACAGAGCAACATAATGTAGGAATAAACACAAACAATAACTAGAAAAGCTCCATATAGTTTGAAATTTAAGAAACACATGTTGAAACAGTTTATGAGTCAAAAAATAAATCCTAACAGAAATTTGAAAATTATTTTTAACTGAATGATGATGATGATACCATTTAAAAAACATGTGGTTTGATAAAGCTAAAGCAATGTTTATAGAGAAATTTATGGCCTTAAAATGTTTACATTAGGAATGAAAGAACTGAATATTGAGCTGATCAGCTATCTAAAGAAGTCAGTAGTTAGGAAAAAAAGTGTAAGAAGGGTATGTTGATCGATGAAATAAAACTAACTAACAAGAAACCTCTGGTGACAATGATCAAGAAAAAAAGACATAAATAACCAATCTAAGGAATGAAAAGGGGCACTTCATTACAAATGCATCAGATTAGAAATGAGAAAAAATTAAACAAAATGGGGAAATTACTAGAAAAAGCAACTTAAACAAAACTGACTCAAGAAGAAATAGAAAACCCCAATGTTCTATAAACAGGGGTGATAGCCAAAATATTTAGAATTTGGTTTGAGGTAGTTATGAACCTTTAGAACACATATTGGCCCAATTAGAACTGCCACCAACTCTGAACGAGTACAGTAGTAAAGACTAGCGCTTAACAACTACCTCTAACTGCTGAAAATTGTATCACTAGTCTTACATTTTCTCTCCCACACACAAAAATGAGGAACAGATGGCATTACTGACAAGTTCTTACCAAATATTTCAGGAAAAAGGTTACTACAAACTTCATCAGAGAAGAGAATAACAAGACATATTTATCAACCTATTTTATGAGTCTAGCAAATGCTTGAAATAAAAAAAAACTATCTGACAAGGATAGTATGAAAAAAAATTATAGCCCAATATTAGTCTTGAAAATAGCGGTGAAAATCTAATACAAAACAGAGCAAACGGGACCCAGCAGAATCCGCACATAATGACCAACCTGAGTTTGTGTGTCTCAGGAACACAAGGTTGATTTCACATTTAAAAGATGAATTAACATATTAAATGAGAGAAGTCATCATCTTACTAGATACAGTAAAATATTCCTAAGTGGCAGGAGGTCAAAGGCTTCCTTAAATGTGATAAAAAAAATAACTACGAAAGAAAAAACCCTCAAACATCGTACATAATGGTGACAACACAAAAAGTCAGCTTGAAGACTTTCCTAGGATCTCTTCTTTTCGGATTCATTCTACCAGACAATATAGATTCATTATCGCAGTATTGTTTGTCTATATGAGAAAATGTTCTCTACTTTCAAAGTGGTAATGGCCTAGTTCACCGTTCTCTCTAAATGTAAGACTTAGCTTTGTAATTGCACCTCGTACCATAGGTTCTAGTTCCTTTGGAGGTCTTTCCAGGGGAGGAATGTACCACAGAAAGCAAAGCTCTTTGTTTAAAACCTGCGTGGTCACGTCTGATGACAGCAGCTCCGCAGAAGGTGTGCCGCTGGGGGCAGGGAGCTTCAAAGGTAAAATGGAATACAGGGAGCTGTCTCCAGGCATCTAGGGAATAAGCAAAGCGTCAGTTTCATTGCCAGTAGTGAATTCACTCAACCTGTACAACATACATTTAACGTGGGCTACAATGGATAACTCTGGAAATCGTGTCCGCTTGTTTTAGATATGGATCTTAAACCTGAACCTGAGTACCACAGAGAAGATTCTCTTACAGAAAGATATGCTTCCAAACCCAGCAGACTCGACAAATGTCTTCCGCTTTGGAGAGGCTCCCAGATTAAAGATCTATAGGGGTGACGTGGCCGAGCTATCTGCCATTTCAGTCTCAGGGGATCTAAGAACATCTTCTTTTTTCTGGTTTATTTACCAGTGAGTCTACTGAGGGTGTGGTTATAACTTATTATCTATTTTCCAACAGCATTTTTTGCAATGCCATACACAAAATAAGATACAGTCTTTGCTCTAAAAGATTAAAATCTATTGTTCTCATTCCCTTTTTAAATGAATGTGGCTGATTTGTAAGTTCAGTCTTGGTAAATCTGGGCCCAGCTTCTTTGATGGAACTTTGTCCCTAAATGAAACATTTTCAAGAATCATAAATGTGCAAAATGCAAGTGGTAATTTCACAAATTATTTACTTAGTTTTTTTATTTACTTAGTTTTTGAAGTTGATTGATATCAACAAAATAAGTGCAGACAGAGAGATAATAATATACCAAGTCTAAGAAGGACCTTCTTCAATGGAGTGTGAACTGTTTTCAAAGTTAATTTATTATTATCCCCAAGATTATAGCATAATGGCTGGGAGGCAATTCTTTTACTGAACTCTTGACATCTAAGATCTCTCAAGGCTTGGTGGCCAAGCGGAGCATGTCAATGGCCAGAAGGAAATGCCTGATGTTTCTATAAGGCTTTGTACTTCCCGTTACTTCTGAGCCTATTCAAGATATAATATAAGGCTCTCAGTGCAAGGCTTCAAAATAAAATAAAAAGAGAAATAAAGACATTGACCTTCCAAGTTGTCTACTGACAAAAGAAAAAAGATGTCTTGACTGAAAGGTTACACTAAAGGTGAAAACTTTTCAAGAACGCCCAGAGACTATCATAAAAGCATACCTGTGATAAGCCAGAACCCTCACTTATTAGCACCATGGTACTAAGAGCATGACCAAAATGCACAATAAGGAAAGTTATCAGGGTTAAATAAGTATTTTAAAGTGCTTAATTAATTCTATGTTGGGCAGTTTGCCAAAAACTCAGGTAAAGAATTGATTCACAAAAGTAATTTCTCGTATATTTTCTCATATCCAAGTGTCTTTCATCGGTCTGACAATTCTTTTAGGAGAAAATTTATATTTTATAATTAGCTAAGTGGAGAAAAATAACAAACATCTTTCTCTCCAATACATACAGTGCTTATTATAGCAATGATGGCCTGGTGACGGTGACAGAAGTCAGTACCTAAACACGCATTTCCTTGTCCCTCGTCTTTTTAAAAGCAGTATCTAGTTGCTAAGGGGATTAATTCCATATGTTAATTGATGGAATATACTATGCACTGAGCACTTTGATTTGTTTGATTTATTCTTGGAAAGGAATGAAACGACAGACCTGCCAGGAAAACTCTTACCCCAGTTCTATAAACAACGAATCCCTTTCACTAGTCAAACAGTTGGCCTCCCAGACACAGCCCAAACACGGGTAACTCAGCACTGCTCACAGCTGTAAGCATGTGCTCCTGGGGGGAGGGATTGTTAACGTCATTTGCTCAGGCACCTTTGTCCATCACAAAGCCGCAGCAACATGCCGACTCACAACGCTGATGAGCACGACACGCAGCAATGATCATTCTGGAAAGGCATCTACTTCTCTGCGGGGGCAAAGCAGCTTTAAGTATTAAATTATGGAAGGAGTTTGATTGAAATAGCCTCCCGAGTGATTAAAGGCTCAAAAACGTTATTATAAAAATCAGCCAGGCTTGGAATTTATTTTTAAAAAATCCAAAGTCTTCATGCTTGTTAGCTGTCTACCCCAGCGAGACGAACACATGATTAGGTGGCTTGCACCTGTCAGGCAAGCAACAGTGATCTCGAGTTGATTATCCTGGGAGAGCGTTACACTAATTATATCAAAGAAACAGCAAGCAAGGTGAAACAACTCCTTGATAACACTGCTCTCACTAGAAAAGCCACATATATTTACAATATATTCAAGGTTGTATTCAAGAAGCATTATGCTTAGGAACTGGGTAATGATCGGCTGCCCTTAATACTAAAATACTCAAGCTGAGCTACTTTCAGAGCAGTAAGTAAGAAATCACACATACTGGTTTCCAAACTCTTATAAAGCTGTCACACAAACACACCCATTTAAAATATAGTTCTGAACCTTCCCATTCTCTGCCCCCTACGCCAAAACACCTGAGGCGTCTGGGCCCCAAAGCAGTGATCCTCAAAGGCAGTCAGTTCCCAGGGGGCTTAACTCAGATTTCAGTGTTAGAAGGAAAAAGACTTCAGCCCACTTCCCACTGTCTCCTTCCCTGGGGAAGGCCAGATATCAGTGTCACATTCCTGGCCTTTCTCACTCCTCTCCCTGTGAGATAGTTATTGGTCAGGGCATCTGGGGAAAAGAATTTTGGATATGTTTAGTTCTGCTTTTATGTCTTAGGAGTGAGCTGTTGGTAGGGAGTGAAGGTTCTGTGCTCCTTCGTAGTTCAAAGGGGACTGTGGCCCCACAGATTTTAAGGAGCCCTGTAGTGACCAAAACAACAAAACAAAATCACATGGCTGATTGGCAGATCTGTCTACTTTGCTATTCGCTACTCGGAAGACCATTTACCACTAAATACAAACCGCACCCTAAAATATTAACTTTATGATTCACAAAGGTGAGCTTTTTTAACCCCAGTATGCCTTAGCCTCTTAATTCTCAAATGATTTAGAATCTGGGCAAGAAATGACAATGCTGCCAACGGCCCAGTGTCCTGGGTAGTCTGAGATCCCCACACACTGCCCTGGGGCAACCCCACAGCCGCAGGTGACAAGCACCTCTTTAACCGAATTCTTCAATATTGCTTGGTGGGTCTTTCCACCACCTTTTAAAACTCACAATTTAGTAACAGTCACCCCACTCTCTTGTTCAAGACGGTGATTTAAAAAAATTATTATTTATCCAAAACGTATGATTACTATTCCCTAGTAGGACCAGAGGAGCAGAGGTTCCCGTTTGGAACAAGCCACTTTTCCAGGTCACTTCTCTGAGGCAGCGGACGGGAGAAATGTGGCGAGGCCTCGCATGGGCAACTCCATAGCTGTAAAAATTAAAGCACTCTATGGTGAAGTCCAATGTCAGGATGATTCAAATTAAATGGGTAATAGTTTTCTAGTTCTAAAAGAATCCTATGCAAATGACTTGACTCATTCATTTCACAAACCGCTATAATATAATACACGGAAACTTGTATAAGGGAAACTTATAATACACAATGTCCCCTTGAGCTTTCTCCTAGAATCTTAGCCTCTGTCTCCAGAGTGGAACGTACCAGCCTCCTCCACAAACCCTCCTGTCTGTGCTGCGTCTGCTAATGGCCTGACCGTGCTCTGCTGACGGCAGACAAGAGGTTCCAAATGCTGGGAGAGTCTTTGATCATTTCCTCTTCGTCACTTTCTCTCTCCAAAGGGACACTCCTTTGTTGTTTTGTTTTCCAATTTACTTAAGCAACATCTTTTACATCCATCCTTTCCCTCCCGTTCCTGAGATCATAAGCTTCATTACTTCATTACCTCTCTCTTGGATGACTCCCTTTCATCTTTCCTTCGTCAATCAGCCCTATCTGCTGTTGACGAAATAACGGATTTAAATGTGTACATTCTATCTCCTACTAACCCTGCCATTTTCTAAAAGCATCTCTGAGGTTCTGTAATTTTCTTCTGCTCTGCCTCTACCAACGTTTCTCCACTACCACCCCAGACTATGTACATGGACTAGGCCTTACTGATCCCCTCTTTCTCCACCAACTAAGATTGTTTGGCATCTTGTTAGTCTTCAACATGTTTGTTGAATGTACCCAATTGCAAATACACATTTCTGTTCTTTATAAAACTTTAATACTCAGTATCTTCCAATTCATTCATTTTAGTCGTTTTTTTTGAAACATTACTATTATTGAAGACACCAGTAGCTTAAAAAAAACTCCTCCATTTATACTTCTCTTTTTATTTCTCTTCAACAGGTAACTTAAAAGAAGTTTCCATGTTACATATCTTGGGAATAACACTTTGACAAAATACCCTTCAAACCTTTAACTTACTTAAAATTTTTTACCTGATTTATTCACATTCATGATAATAAAATATACACACAATGAATTATTTTTATTATATATTAAAAACGAAGAAACTGGGCATAGATTTAGAAACTCTTGGTCTAGTTTTTTGTAGTTATTATATTGAAACTTGGGTAACTTCTTGGCAAAAGGAGTGCCTGAGAGATGTTATATGTCAGAATATAGAAAATTGGGAGATGTTCTTAAGATTTATGAAAGCAGCAAACCAACCACTTGAAATGTGAACTTGCCTGAGAATCGGGATGTCTGGTCAGCTTCTCTACATGGTATGGCAGAAACAAGGCTCCCCAGGAATGCTGGCGGAAACTAGGAAACCTTTGGGCTAGCAATGGGCTTAATGTGCTGCCTTCAGAAATATGAAGATGACTTTAAGATGTTTTATAACCATCTACAATGTTTTAAAGCATTACCTTGGCCAAAGAGTCACATAAGTTATTTTCTGAAAATTGTAGCTTTTCCAATTCTTGAAATAGTTCTGTTGGAAATTCGTCAATACAGGAGGAGGAGTACAGTTGTAAAAATCTTTTAAGAAAGTTATGCATTTCTTTTTGGCGCAAAATCAACTTGGAGTTGAAAAGGGACGTGAGAAGTGTATCATCTGGCAGAGAAATTCCAGCACCGGACTTTGGGGATGCTTAAGAAAAAAAACAGCTTAATTTAGAGTTATATTACATAAGAGAATGGTCTCAATGTCACTGGTTTTTACTCACTAACTACTATCTCGTATATCCCCACTCAGCTATCTGAACGATATCACTGTTAGGGCTTATACACCAAGGAACTGCTTCTTGCCACAGAAAGGAAAGAAAATCTCTGAATGAAGTAAGGATGTTAATTCAGGTTCCAAGTCTTAACAATGTAAAATATGCTATCTAGCTGTCCTGATGGAGGCTCCCCCCGGCCTACCCCACCCCCACCCTGGAAGACCTGAAAGCAGAAATTTAGGTGCTGGTAACTTATCTGAAAAGTGATCCAAAGAGCACAAGTGAGAGAACAGACAAAGAGTGACAGGGAAAGGGAACGGGCAATGAGATTGAGCTCATGAATGGACGACAACCACAAACAGCCAAGGGCTCAGTCCTGCAGGAGACCTTCTGAGAAAAGAACATGTAGAATTATTCCATCAAGGGACTGGGAGGCTGGAATGCTAATCTCCCAGTTCCCCCACCTCATTAGTTGAAGGATACTCCTGGACGTGTGGAATCTTGGTGCTTCCAGGCTGTCCTGTCTCTGGGCAAGCCTTAGTAACTTAAGAGAAAGCCCAGAGCAGAAAAGCAGTAAAGTGTGGGCACATGATGTGGGAAGTGCCAGCAGGTGAGTTCAGAGGTGAGCAGAGTCGGCCAGGGGCAGGGTTTGCTGCTCTGGCTCATGTTCACTTGCTTTGCCACTGAACTTCCCTTGTCCTTGTACCCACTGTGATGTGCCTTTTGCCCCGACACCTTTCTGAGTGCCAGCCTGTCTCAGGAGGTAGCACACTCCTGGTCACTGTGCTTAGCCACTCTGTGACTCAGCCTGTTGGCCCTGCTGGCTCCTCCATTGCTGGGCACGGGTCACGCTGCCTTTTCTCACCACTGCACTGATGGGTAACACTGCATCACCAATTTCACAGGCTAAGCACAACAATACACATTGTCACAAAACCACAAAAGGGACTGCTGTGCAGCAGATTACACCTGTTTTTCTGGATATGCTTTAGATACATCAATGACAAAACATAAAAAACTTAACAAAACAACTCCATGAAGTTAAATATCTCAAGTCATGCACTTCTCTTTTACATACTAGATACCAAAAGATTCTCTCCTTAAAGCCAAAATTTCATCTTGTTCATTTTATAAGCTTGACACAGTATGGTCATTCTGCTTTTTAACTGTTTCAAGCCATGGGCCCATCTGGCAGGCAGTAAGGTTTCTAAGTGCATGAAATAAAACACATAGCCGTCGGAGAGTGGCCACACTGAAACACTGCTGTACTGAAAGGTCTGTGTGTCTCAGGCGAAGAACCCCTGAATGGTTCAGCTCCTGATGAGAATTCACTCAGAAAGATAGCAAAAGTAGTGTATAATTCTAAACGAGAAACAGAACCTAAACAGCAGTGGGAAGGAAGCATGTTGTTCTGTAGCACATGCAAAGCCTACCTAGCAGCTTGCTCATGTTGTTGATCCTTTGCAGGTGGATATAGTAACGTAGCAGAAGGATCCAGGTGATGTCCACTTTAGTCAGAGCCTTTTTTCTAGCATCGGAGTTGTCTTCCATGTCATCGCTTTCATAAAAAAATGTGTGGCTGGTCTGGAAGGCGACTTGGTAATTGTCTGAAAGTTTAAAAAGTTATGCTTTTTCTCGAAAAATAATATGAACAAGAGCCCAACTCATAAAGGAAAGATTGACACATGGGACTACATTTGATTAAATTTTTTTTTGTGCCACAACCGACAAAAAACACAAAGTTAAAAAACAAACCATAAACTTAGAAAAGATATTTAAACCATGTATGAATTTTTTCCTTTCCAATATATATATTTCATTTTGCACCAATCACTAAGAAAAAGTCAAACTGTCCAATAGAAAAGTGGACACAGAATCTCAACAGAAACTCATAGAAAAGAAAATCCAAATGGCCAAATTTCTAGCATCACTGAAAATCACAGAAATGCAAATTAAAATTAAACACCATTTCACTTCCTGCAGAAACTGACAGACACTAAAATCTGAAACAGGCATTCTTACACACTACTTCAGGAGACTTGGCATCTTGCAATAATACTGAGTTTTCTTAACTATAAACATGGTGTGTTTTCTTATCTCTTTCAGTAAGATGTTTTATAGCTTTTGTTAGCTTAAGCCCTAGTTACATTATAAATTTCTGTAGTATTATAAATGATATCTTTTAAAAATGTATTATCTGTTAAAAGTGTATAGAAATAAAATTTCACATTCAGTAATCTTGCTAAACATTTTGATTGTCTATAGTTTTTTGGAAATTATCTATTATCTAGTGTTAATAACAGCTTTTTTTCTTCTTTCCCATTACTTGTACCCCTTATTTCTTATTTGTTTTGCAGGGTAGAATTTTCAGAACAATTTTCAACAGAAGTGGCGATAGGAATCTTATTCCTGCCTTTTAAGAGAACAGTGTTTGAATACTAAGCATGGTAAATCCAGTAGTTCTTATTTCCTGTTTTAACTTTTTCAAGTGAAGAAAATCTTTAATTTCTAGTATTAAAATTGCGAATGGTTTACAGTTCACAAAATTTTTCTGTGCTTTTTGGAGTTGATTATTCTCTTTTCATCTGTTAATGCAGTGATTTGATTTAATAAATTTCCTAATGCTGAGTTACAGTTGTGATTCTGGAAATAATCCAATTTGACATAATGAATCTTTTAATATCCTGTTTATTTTGATCAAAGTTATAATTTGCATGATCAAAAATAAAAATTCCTATCTCCAGAGGCAGTCACTTTTAATCGTGTCTACTTTCGTTCTTTCGGTGGTTAGTTCTGGATCTTAAAATAATTCCCTTATAGCCCTTCCCAGGATCATCAGCTTTATAACAAATACCTACTGACCTCCTTTTGTGATAGTGAGGTGCTAGCTCACAGCACCACTCCTCTTCACTTTGAACTTTCTATATTTATAACACCCCCCCATCGTTTTCATATAAGACTACCAATAATGTTCCAGCAGCTTTTTTTCTAGTTCTGCCAAACACAGACAATCTCGTAATGTCTTACTCAGTAATCTAATGGTATCCGTGCCGCTTCCATTTCTTCCACTTGCCAGGTTCCTATTTTCAGATCAGTAGCATTTACCTTCTGTTCTGCATCCACAGTGGACGCTCTTTATTATTTGTCGAAAACCAATAAATAATGCTGAAGCTTTCATGATTGTGGAAACACTGGTCACTGCAGTGTGATTGCGTTTCCCGTGCTACAGGCAAATGTCGCAGCCCCGTGACCCACAAAGGACAGAACTCCAGCACTAAGATCAACCTGACTGCTTCTGCTCACTGCGATTTCTCAAAGCCAGGTAATATTCTAATTTACTTCATATGTGTCCATGAGTTCCTGAAGAACATCTTTTCTTAGAATTCCAGAATGCTTTTCCAACTATGACACAAATCTAGAAGTTATCAAAGATGACTACTTCGTACTGTGGAGAAGTACAAAGATTCTTCATGGGACTGAACCACCACAAAAAGGCGAAACCACCACTGATAAATTGGAAAAATAGATTTGCAAATAATGTCATAGTTAAAGGGTTAATTTACATAATAAAGGGCTAAAACACATACGTAAAGACAAAAATAAAACACAAGAAAGTTCACATAAAAGATGTCCAACCTTAGTCCTAATGAGATGTACAAATTAAAATGAAATCTTCCCCCTGCCATATTGACAAAAGTTTTTAAAATGTATCCATGTCGTAACGGTGTAGGAAAAATAAAGCTTTCATTAACTGTTGGCAGGAATACAAGCTGGCATAACCTTTATGAAATTTGGCAAAATTTATCAATATCACAAGCTAGCTTTTGGTCCAGAAATTTCCCTTATGGGAACTGACCCAATAAACGTAATTGCCTATGTACAAAATTCATACACATATGGTTATCTACAGCAGAGTTATATTAAAAGAGTAAAATCAACCTGAACATCTCTCAAAGGAAGACTAATTATGGTACATCTCTATAAAGGAATATTATGCTATAAAGGAAGTTACAGATTGATTTGAAACAACTGCCAATAGATATATTTAAGTTAAAGAAAAAAGAGCAATAAGCATCGCTGTATGTACAATTATACTATTATTTGTATTTTAAGGGAAAATATATCAATGTAGTATTGTACATACCAAATGAGGTCAATCAACACCCATCCTAACCTACAAATATGCTTTCCTATATTGAAAAAGTTACAAAGATAAAAATTGTGTTTCCCAGATTCCCTGCAGCTGGGGCCCCAGAGGAGACTTTGGTCTCAGAATCAGTGCCTTAGTGTAGCACCTGAAGTTGGAACCATGCTAAGTGGTGCAGGAGAGGATTTGAGGCATCTCTTCCGCTGGTTGAAAGTGTGGCGGAGGCTCTGTGATTCTGCCGCATCCGGAGCAGAGGCTGTGTATTCTGAGCTTCCTCTATGTTATGGTCTGAAGGTGTGCGACTCTCCCGTTTAAATGCTGAAGCCCTTTGTTTTGGCAGCAGGCACTAGTCCCCTGCCCTCTCCCAGAGGCCCCAAGCCATTATCCTCTCTAAGCTCAAACCCAACAAATCACTACAATGAAACCTTTGAAACTTGAGTATACGTGACATATATCAGGTTTTTATAAAACGACTAGACATTCAAACATACCAAGCAAATAATCCGTGAATGAAGACAAGAGGTCCACAGCGGCAAATTCTGGGATGTTAGGTAATGCTGCTTGGCTCACCTCGTCAGTTCTGGCATTTTTCTTTCCAATAAGTAGGTTAATTGCCAGCACAGCTTGACTCACCTTAAATTAACGCATAATTAGAATTCACAAATGTAAGTTTTCTGATTCCCAGGTTATCTATTGAGTAAACAATGTGAAAAAATTCACAAAATAACATTCAATATACACTGGAAGAAAAAATAAAGACAACCTCAAAAATAATGTTACCGCAACATGGATAATAGATCACAAAGAAGCGACAACTGTGGGCAACTTAGTTAATGTGTAAGCCATTTAAAACGGGCTACCTCACCTCGCTAGAACAGATACTTGCTGAAATCTCGAATACGCGCTTATGTGTGTCTGCCAGTATTTTTATTACAGGAAAGTTGAAACAAACAAAACCAGGTCTGGCTAGTAGATATTAAAAACACTATACATATAAAAAGCATTTTTAACCTTCTCCCAAAAGCATCACTGGCACAAACCCCAAAGGATGTGAAAATTTCCCTTCTCTTACACAAACACATGGTGTTGCCTTAACAGGGTGGGTGGAGAGCACAGACGCTCCAGGAGAGAGAAGGTTAAACAGAGACGACACCAACCTGAGCAGCTGCTCTCACCGCAGTCCAGGCCAGCGAGGTGCACACGCCATACCTACTTACTGTGGCTTCTTTGATAGAACTGTGCCTTCTGGTAGGAGCCTGAAAGAGGTGGAAAGTGTTTTATGATAACGATAGATAAAGATATCACAAAGTTGCAGGATGAATTGTCTCATCTCCTGAAGATGACAAGTGAATGGAATACTAGGCAGCCATTAAGAACACGAGATGCACATGAAAAGATGTTAAAGTATACACACCACAGGACACAAAATATGATCCCATTTTTAAAAGATATGTGCAGGCAGAGGAAATGAAGTGTTATCCCAGGTTTTAGGGGTGATTGAATTTTTTTTTGCCATTTTCCCCTAATTTTTACAATGAGCTTGCATTATCTGAATAATAACAAAGTGAAAACAAATAGCATTTTAAAGTATTTAAAGAGATATTTACTACTTTATTTTTCTTTTAATTTCCCAAATCACTTTAAGTTAAACAGAATTCTAGCTTTATAAAAGTCTAAATCTACATAAAACTCAAAGCAATCTAACAATTTTTCTACCTGAGATCAAAACAAGTTTATTTTTTCATATCTAAACATAATTCTTGGCATTGAAGTAAACCTGAAATCACATGACACGTTTTGTCAAATTCCCCCCCCCCAATTTTAAGCCCTGCATTAGAGAGAAATTCTCCTGTTACACATATTTACATTTGTTTCTTCAAAGACTAATGACAAATTTATGAGGTTAATAGGCTTGAATTGCAAACACAATACTCATAATATAAAAATGAAACGCCATTCATTTGGCTTTCATTCGTGGCTGTCTTCGGCAATGCTTCCCAATCTTGAAAGCAGAGGAACCTGCTACAGTAAACATGGAAGGTGAAAAACGAAGCTATATGTGATGTATAAAAACCAAGCCAAGTGTATAAACTGAGAAAGAAAATACTAGAAGGAAGGTGGAGCAGCTGTCTTCCCTTAAAGGAAAAAGAGAAAGTAAAAACAGGTGGTTGCTCCTTGCCCTTCTTCCGCATTATCTCCTGGTTAGAGGAGTGTGCACCGGAAATTCAAACTCTGAAAAGGCGATGAGTCTGCAGGAAGAGCTTAGGCAAGTGACTAAAGGGTAAAGGAGCACAGTGCACTCCAGCTGCTGCTGTTTCTTTGCTCTGGCATTGGCAGTATCAATGCGGTCTTTGCTGGTGTCAGCCTTTTCTGAGATCCGTTGTATTTGTTGAGCTTGAGCCTCAATTGCATTGCCCACGTGCAGGGCCGTGTTTTTTTAGATTTCCTAGGATACTGCTCACTTGAGTCAGGTTCTCTTCCATTTCATCTTCTACGACATCATTTGTTATCAATTTAATGTATCCACTACCTGCTGTTCCCGTGGTTGCTTGCTGAGGCTGACCATTTGTCACTCGGACCGGGTGTTTAGACACTACATTGCTAGAAGGGTTGTCTCTACCAGCTCCTCATGTTGCCTTACCAGACTCAAAGTTCTTTGTCCATGGGCAAAGACACAAAGGCCACGATGCTTGTTGAGTTCTGTTAAAGTCTTCTCTGCCTCTCTCATGTCTCTAGTTATTTGGTCCATGCCTTCTTCTACACGGTTTAGTTGTTCATCCAACATAGTCATAGTCTTGATTCCTGTATCCTGAGACTCGATGGCTAAACCTGACATTCTCCTTGTACTTTCCAGACTCACCAGTAATCTGGTGAGCTCTCAACTGAATTTCTTCTGATCACAGATTATCCATGATGAATGAAAACTCTTGATAGGTCAGGCAATTCATTGTGGTCACTCCTCCCTGGCTGCAGTAGCTCAGACACCACCAGACTAGACTATGAGCTGCACCCTTCCTGCACCTGCGTGATATTTACTATTTTAACAGACCTATAAATTAATTATATAGTTTTTAATGATATCAGATGTTGGGAACTGCTCTACATGGTTTCAGGAGTTGTAACTGCCCCCATGGCTAAGGATGAGTGAGCAACCTCTGGAATGCAAGCCACAAGGAGACAAAGCTTGTCCCCTGCCCCCAATGCTTGGTCAGTTAGTCAGAGATGGGTATGACCCCTCAGAGGGGGGCAACCTAAGCCAGACACTGTCACTGGGGAGTCCCTCATGGAAGGACTCAGGGAGCTACAGCAAAGAAGGAGTGATGGACTCTCACCCCCCAGCTATTCTGACATAGCCTCAGTCCCCATTTCCATCTGGGAGAAATGCTTCCTGGCTCTAATCCACTTAAGCCTAAAACCCAATGATGGGGAAGGTGGTGCAGCCCTTTGCCAGCTAGAGAGGGATCTGGGGTGATCAGGCCTAAGAAAGAATATGTAAAATTCCTGTGAAACCTGCTTTGTTTAGAATGCTCTTATTTAAATGATAAGGGTCCAAGCAAGAAGTGTGTTCCTCAAAGTTTTATGGCTCTTTAGCTATCTGACCCTGACTGAGAATAAGCCCTCATAGTTCTTTGAATGCTATTTGTTGTTTGATCCTTACCTGTATTCTTGTGCAAACGAACCCAATAAAAGCCCTTTGAGGAAAAGGTTCTTGGCCTTTCTCCTCTGAGAGACTGACCACCTCTCCTCCCCAAGCAGATCCTGTCTTGGTAGTTTCACTTTCATCCATGGTGGACAGGGGGGGACTTTGTGGGCAAAGTTGCCCCCACAATCAGTAATAAGAATATTACTTAAGTATTTTGATAGGTATTTATTATCATTTTTCTAAATAGGAAACTATTAGAGGGATGATGTTATAGTCCCACAGAACAATGAAAAGTAACAATGAACGAAGATAGGCTTTACCACGAGAGTGCGTTCAGTTTTTTAACATAAGAAAACCAATGTTGCAGAAATAAACAGAAAGAAAAGAACTATACCAGCAACACAAAATCCATTTTACTTTTTTAAAGATAAGTATTAATAGTCAATTTTTAAGATTTAATTAATCTGGACAAAGCTATGTGGTTAGACTGGTTGGTTCTAATTTTGCAATGCTCATATTTTGAGAATTCTTTAATCTTCAACAAAACTGCAGAAGAAAATAAACAATAACAAAAATCTCTTTCATTTACTGCTGGCTACATGACTCCCAAAAAAAGGGAAAGGCAAAGAATAACACTGATGCCAGAGCAGGAAATGCAGGTGGCCTGGCCCAGAGCAGATGTGAAGCTCAGAGGCAGACGCACCTGCAGTGCCTGTCCCAAGGCGTGCAGACTGGAGCCGGCAGCTGTAATGAAACTACTTAGGCTTTGGGTTGCTTGGTCAGCTTCCTGGCTATCTGAGCTTGAAAATTTTACTTAAATTCTGACTAATAGGCATTAAATGAAGACTACAGAATAACATTAAATTATTATAATTATGAACAATTAGTGACAGAAACATTTAAAAAAGAAAAAAAACTCATTTTGAATAGAGAGGAAAGCTTTATTGAGGACATCAAACTTGAACTCCAAATATAAAAATCTGGACTAGAAAAATAATACAGTGGGCATTTTTTTTTGATGGGGGAAGAGCTCAACATTGCATACTAGATTCTAGCCCACACAAACAAGCAAGAAAAAGGAAAAAATGCATCTAGATTCCAAGTAAAGAAGTAAAATTGTCTTTATTTTCAGAAGACTAAGATGCAGAAAATCCCAAGATGCACACATACACATTAATAAATGTGTTTGCGAAGTCACAGGTGACGAAGCTCAGTACTCATAGATCAGCTGTGTTTCTACAAACCAACAATGAACAATTTGAGAATGAGATTAAGAAAAATTACATTCACAATAGAAATAATGTAATAAAAATGTATAATATTTATACACTGAAAAGTAAAAAAAATTGAGAGAAGTTATATAATATCTAAGTATGTGAAGAGACATATTATAAATTAGAAGATTAAATATTGTTAAAATGGCAATTACCCCCCCAACTCATCTGTAAATTTAACATAACCCCTACCAAAATACGTGGGGTTTTTTTGCAGGAATTTACAAGCATATCCTAAAACATATATGAAAATATAATGGACTCAAAAGAGACAAAACAATTTTTTAAAGGAAGAATATATGTGGAAAACACATACTTTTCAGTTTCAAAACTTACTAAAAGCTATAGTGACCAAGACAGTGGATACTCATGAAAAGGTAGACTTACAGATCAATGCAATAGTATTGGAAGTCTACATTTATGATCTACATTTACATTTACAATCAATTAATTCTGACAAAGGTGTCAAGGCAATTCAATGAAGCAAGGATAGTCCTCCCCACCAATGGTGCTGGGACAACTGGATCTATGTGCAAAAAGATGAGCTTAAATCCTCATATTTTCCACAGATATTTATTCAAAACAGAGCACAGACAAACAAAAGCTAAAGCTGTAAAAATTCTAGAAGAAAACATAGGTAAAAATCTTCAACATCTTGTATTAGGCAAAGAGTTCTTAGATATGTCACCAAAAGCACAAAGCATAAAAGGAAAAAAATGATAAACTGGACCTCATTAAATTAAAAACTTGTTTGTTTCTGAAAACACCATGACAACATGAGAAGACAACCCACCAACTGGAGAAAAGATCCATAAATCATACATTTGATAAGGGGCTTATATCTGAAATATATATTAAAAGCTCATAACTCCTTTTTATTGCTGGGTAATATTTCACTGTATATATTTACCAGTATATTAACATCACTCAGCAATACAAAAGAAATGCAGTCTTGCCACTCGTGAGCACATGCGTGGCCCTGAAGGGTGTTATGCTCAGGGAAATAAGTCAGACAGAGAAAGACAAATACTATATGACTTCACTTGTATGTGAAATCTAGAACAATAAAACAATGAATAAATCAAACAAGCCAGACCCATAGATACAGAGAACAAGCTGAAAGTGGCCGAAGGGGAGCAAAGTGGGGGAGAGGTAAACATAAAATTCAGTAAAATAAAAAAAAAACTCATAACTCAATAAAAAAAAGACAACCCAATTTACATTGTGGCCAAGGGATCTAAATAAATATTTTCCCCCCAAAAGATATACAAATGGCCAATAAGAACATGAAAGGTCTCACTCATTAGCCACCAGGGAGACACAAATCAAAATCACAAGGAAATACCACTCCATACCCAGTAGGATGGCTCCAAGCAGAGATAGAAAGGAAGGGTCAGCAAGGAACCCTCGCCCTCTGCTGGTTGGAGCACAGAATGGCACAGATGCTGTGGGGAAAACCTGACAGCTCATCAGAAGACCAAACATATAGTTAACATCTGACCCACAAGTTCCACTCTTAGCTATTCCCCCAAGAGAATTAAAAATGTATGTCCACATAAAATCTTGTGCTTGAATGCTCAACAAAGAATTAATCATAACAGTGAAAAAAGTGCAAACAATTTATATGTCCATCGACTGTTAAATGGATAAAGAAAATGCGGCACACCCAAATAAGGGAATGCTACTCAGCATTAAACGGAATAGACTACTGTTAGGAACTACGGCGTGGGTGAACGTCAAGAACATAATGCTAACTGAAAAAAGCAGGCAAAAGGGCTACATATTACCTGACCCCATTTATAGAAAAAAAAAATCCAGAAAACGCAAATCCATAGAGACAGATAACAGATTAGCAGTGACCTGGGGCTAGAGGTGAATATGGGGATGACTGCAAATGGGCACCAGGAATCTTTCTGGAATGATGAAAATGTTCTAAAACCGTGTGGTTGGGAGAGCTGCACAACTCTGTAAAGTTACTGAACACCTGTGAACTTCACTCTTAAAATAAGTAAATTTCATGGATGTAAATTATTTCTCAGTAAATTTGTGTTTTAAATGTATGCTTAATGATCTCTTTGTTTTGACTCTTTTTCCCCCACTTAACTACTCAGAAAACTTTTACTGGTCCTTCAAAAATTTGTCTCATCCGTGAAGCTTTCTCCGGCATTCCCCCAAAGCAAAATGAGTCACTACTTTGCTCCGCCTCCCTACCTTGACATACCTGGATTGTAGTCCTCATTACATTGTGATACAATTATTCATCTTCCTTGCTAGAGTCTGCGCTCCTTAGGGAAAGGCAGTAATATGACTGGCGTACATTAAACACTCAGTGTTTGGTTAATGCATGAATAAATAAATGAGTGTTCAAGAAAGTTAACTCAACTTAGCTAACAAATAAGTATTGAATATCTACTGAATACAAAATACTTTCATTATGATTTTATTTATTTATTTATTTTTAGACAGAGGGGAAGGGAGAGAGAGGGAGAGAAACATCAGTGTGTGGTTGCCTTTCACGTGTCCCCCCTACTGGGGACCTGGCCTGCAACCCAGGCATGTGCCCCGACTGGATATCGAATGGGTGACCCTTTGGTTCGCAGTCTGGTAATCAGCCCACTGACCTACACCGGCCAGGGCAGTACAAAGTACTTTAGAATGTAGACGTTTAAGAGGCCTTACATAGTGATGAAAACAACTCCTCTGAGTATCTGGTACACGCCAAGCCCATTACATTATTCTCCTAGCCAGTCTAAGAGGTGGGTCTCAAAGTGCCATTTCACCAGGAGAAAAAACTAAGCTTAGAAAGACGCCCGCCACACCGCAGCACGCCATGGAGCTCAGACTTGCATCGCAACTGGTGCTGTGATCGCCCTGCTACATGGATTCTATGAAAGTGAACCCGTGATGCTTTCTTTTAAAGGGTTAATACATACTGTCTGTATAACATTTGAAACAAATTTAAAATGTTATACTTCAATGGTCTGAATGTGCTTGGATGAAAATTTATGATTATTTCGGCTGCTTTCTGTGTTTCTAGTAATTGTATGAACTGCTAAAATATTTATCCTGTGTCAAGATATACAGAAAATAATGATCCTACTGTATGGAATTATACTATTCTTTTTATTCAAATCCTAACTTATTCAAGCTCTTAATTATAAATATTTCTGAGTAAAGGCCAAAAAGGTGATATATTATTATCCTACCATCCTAATAATTTGTATTGCCACTGGCTATGGAAGCAAAATTTTTTGTTTTCTCTTCCTGGAAATAAACATGTTTATTACAGCACAAATAGTAACTTCTCTCTGTAATCATAGATTTTTGATAGAAAAAAAGCTGCTATCTGCCAAAGGCAAAACCATATAAATAATGCAATTGACTGTAAGCTTATTTGCCTAATGGTTTTAAATCATATTTATGCTGTCTCAAAAATTAGAGATTTGACACCAAAATTTTCTAAAAAGATCTCTTGGAGGGTCTCTGAGGACAAGGAGAGGGTCTGGCTTGGACACCGCTTAATCACTGTCCAGAATACAGCCTGTGTCAAAGCAGGTGCTCGACAGATAGGTGATGGATGGGTGGATGCTTCCGTCACCAGGTGGCCCCTTCATTGGCCGCATCAGTACTGAAATCCTTACTTGTCCATCTGCTTAAGCAATGTTTTATTTCCTGTAATTTCCTGATCAGTACTAATGACTTAGAGTATTTACACATACCTACATTTCATGGATAACATTTTAACAGACAAAAATGTCTACACAAAACCTATTCCCAGAACTTTACATAAAACAGAGGGCATCTAAACATGGGTATGACTACAAAGTAATGAATCCATTTCTGTAAGTCCCACAGAAAAATCGGTCTCATTATTTCAACGGCACAGTGTTACCAAAATAGCAAGCTCAAAGTTAATTGTAATTAACTTACAATATTTAACAAAAGGCTTTTACCTTAGATGTTGGTGATGCCGTGGAAAGTTTGTTCTCTGCATTTCTCAGGTGTAAGTATAACAGGGCGATCTCTAGGTAGGAGTCCCTTATCAACCTAAAACGGCACAGCATTGTCCTTGTTAAACAGCGTCACCACTCATCACTGGTTTCCTTTATTTGCCAGTCATGTCTGAGCTGATGAAAGGTAAAAACAGGCAAGCCGGCATCCGTCCCCGACTCACACCCTATTCTCACAGCGCTCCCAGCAGAGACACTGGCACCTGTCTCCGCAGGGAAAGTGGAAACTCTTGAGAGTTGAACGTGCTGCCTTGCTCCGTACTGGCAACACAGTAACATCAAGACCCGTCTGGCATATCCCAGCAAACAAGGCAGTGAAGAAGTGAAGGTCAGGTCTAGAGGAACCTGCCTTAAAAACTAGGCCTCTTCCTGGCCTCCTACCCTCAGAGGGGACAGAGTTATGCAGGAAGCAGTGACTTGGTGTGGGTTAGGTCTGTGTGTACGTTATCCAACCTGTCGGTTGGGGCCATTTAGATCAGTGCCCTGGTAATGATGGTGGCTTACTCTTAATCTTGAGGTGATTTTTATACAGAGTTAAGGTGGCTGGCCCCTCCCCGGACCAGAGTGAATAGCGACACAACTCCCTTCTAGATACAATTTCACACCCGGGGGAGGACCCTGTAATCCTAGGACTGACGGGGGATTCCTCTGAGCACAGACTCGAAGGGACTCCCAGTCCAGTTATGTAACCACAGTAAACATCAGGCATCAGCGCCAAGAGCAGCAAGCTTGAAAAGGAAGTCAGTAAACCCGCCGGACAATGGACACCAGTGAACTAGCCCCGCTGTGGGCGGCACTGTAAAATATTCAACAAACTACCAGGGGGCTCGGACCAAAACAGACACCGTGTTACAACAGCGGAAACGTATTTTCTTTACCCTGAGTTTTGATCGTGGTTCAGGCTTAGTTGTATTGCTTCACATAAACTCTCAAGGGGTGAATTTGGAGATTTCTCTTCCATCAATAATTGACGCTCTATTTTGCCTGTCAGAAGAAAAAGATAGACAAAGATGAGTTTTCCCTTCTTCTGTCATTTAGAACTTCAAGAACAAGTGTTTCACGCCGCAGATTCGGAGAAGCGGATGTGCCGTCCCGGTCGGTTGTCTGTTGCTTCTTGCTGGAAGGGAAGCCAGTGGGGAAGAAGGATCCCCGGTCCCTTTCCCCAGGCCCCGGGCCTTCGGTCAGCAGCTCCGCGCAAGGCCGCCTCTGGCTTTCTGGGCAGAGAGGTTTCTACCACCCTCCCTTCCTCTCCGTTTGCTTTGTGCACCTTCCTCTTCCTCCTGCGGCGCTCTTCTCCTTTGCCACGTCCGCCTTCCTCTCCCCTCTGTCTCCTGTCACAGATACCATAGAAAACACCTCTAAAAACACAGAGTCCTAAAGGTCAGCCAATGCTCAGACTGCCATGGGTGACGGAAATGCTCTCGTGCTCACTCAGGTCCCTGCCTTCGTGGGGAGCCACAGCCGCCACATGCAGGTTCTGGAATGACACTTCGGTAACAAAAAGGGCCAGAAGGGGAAATCTTACAATTACTGTCAAAAGGATCCATGCGGATTTCAAGCCGCATGTGGACAGAGCACAGACAGAGCTACCCAGTGCCAAGTTCACATCAGGGTGCTCGCATTTAGGAGCTGCTCATGTATGAAAAGTTACTTGACCAGACTACACCACATTTTCCTCCTCTGTCAACCAGGAATGGCCAGGCCTACCTTGTGGAGCTGTTGTTGTAAGAATTAGCAACATGAGACGTGAAACACTGACCACAGCCCCATGTGTCTGTCTACTGGCTGAAGCTCCATGAATGACAGCTCTCATAACTGTCATCATTTTGCTCCCGGCTAGAGCAGCCGCAATAAAAGTATATAAATGTACCTGGCAAATACGTGTTGTATAGAAGCATGCTACAGCGATTTAATTTAAATGTGTACGGATCTTTTATAAAAATTAATGACAATGCTTAGCTAAGTAATGAAATGATGCAGAAAAAAGCATCTTTTAAGTATTATTTAAGGAACATTCTTTACAGCTAAATGGCTGATGCAGACATTTTAATTCAATATAAAACCGAGGGGCAACTGTAATTATAAAAAAAACTAAAGAGTACTATTTTTGTAGGTATAAATTTAAAATAAGTAGTATTCTCTTTATTTAAAACTGAGTTTGCACCAAAGTGTTTGTCATCACTAAGCCCTTTGTAAAAATCTGTATTTTTTACACTCAGTGACTAGATTTTCAAGAAGCCTATTGTTAATAGAAAAAAAATTATCATGATTCAGACCAAAAATACATCTTACCTTTCTGAAAAAGGATTTCAGCTTCCACCTCATGTTCATCTGTTGCTGATATCCTACAGAGTTTCAGTGCGATTTCAAAAAGCTGAAGTGCGGGTAACCACTTTGAGGAATCCTTCTTTTTACTGTTATAATATACTTGCTTGGCCATTGTGTGTCCTACAGAGAGAGAGAGTTGAACACAATAAAACATACAGCGTTCGTAATAAGCCTCCAAGTTACTGGACTTCTCTCACAGTAAGGTACCTACTAAGCACCCTTGTGGTCTTTAGTTTTTAGCATCTAAGAAAATTTGTAAAGCAACTCAATACCCAAATATTTCAAGGGAATGATAGCAATAGTCCTTTGAGACTTTATTTTCAATAAATTTCAATTATTTTCATTTTTTAAAGGAAGGGTCATCTTTCAAACCTCTCAGTTCTGAAACGTGGTAGAGCTCTGCAGAGCCACTTCCACATCCCTAAGATGAGGCTGTCGTACGGAAACATCTGGAAGTTTTACGCTGTTTCCCGTAAAACTTGCATGTATGATGAACAGGCAGTAGTTTGCTCCCCTGCAGCTGTGCAGCGGTGGCTCACTGTGCTCACTCTGTCATCCCAACGAGAGGAGAAACCCGCAGGAGCAGGGCCTCGGGCTCTACTTCCACGTGTCCCCGTCGTCATTTAACATAATGACGGGTTGCTGCGTGGAAGAGGCATTCCGTCTCATGTTTGTGGCCTCAAAGACAGACAGACATTTATTCAAAAGATATTTTCTGAGTGCTTAGGCACTGGATAAAAATGAGAAAAGAGAAGATTAAGAGCTAAGGTTATTAAGTGCTTCCTATAAGTCAGGCATCATCCCCAGTACTTAACAGGCATTACCTGATGTGACCCCGCAAGCTGCAACTGGACCCCACTGTACAGAGAGTACACTCAGCCACAGCATGGTGAGGTTTAAGAAACTGGCCAAGGCCCCACAAATAGTAAGTAGCACGGCTGTGATTTGAGCCTAGGCAGACTGGCTCCAGGGCCCATACCCTAAACTGTGATACTACAGAATTCCTTAAGGGAGAGATCATGGAGCTTAGCGTTTAATGAGGAATGCTAATGGCCAGATCAAAATACTGTGTGGTCAGTTGTGTAGTGGAGAAAGCAAGGGTGCTATGGTAACAGTTTACAGGAGAACTGGCATAACTGTGCAGAAACTTCATTTCTTTAATAACACCTTTCCTCCTGATTCACACTGGCCTCATCCAGCACCCTGACTCACCTGCCTCCCTCTCCCTTGCATGTCCACTCCCTTAATCATTAAGCCCCCAAGACTATGAGACCCTGGTCAGCATTAAACGATTTTAGGAACAAAGCCACAGATCTACTGATCACAGAGAGTTTCAGCCAAACTAAAGATAATATCTGGCCAGGCTCCAGACCCAGAAAAGTGGAATGACTCTAACAACATCTTTGCAAAACCAGGCAAAGCAGTGCTATAGCTAACGTGAGGACCAGATGCAATGGTCACCTGCCCCCTACCCTAGCACCAAACAACCAGGATAGACCACACCCTAACTCCCTTAGTCCCCTCTACTGCACATCCCCTAGAAGCCATCTGAGAACCAGGTCTTGGAACCCTAGCTTACCCATGACTCTGGGCTTGGCACCATGTCCTCAACTAAGGAACCCTTACTTTCTTGGCTGCAATTCCTGTTCTTATTTGATTGGACTCTGATGCAGGCAGGCAAGCGGACCCCTTTAATCCAGTGACACTGGCCCAAGCCTGGGGAAGGTCAGGGAAGCCTTCTCAGAGGATGTGGCTGAAAATCGCCTGCTCTTTAGTAATTTTAGAGAAGAATGTTGGGATAAAGAGTAGAAGGCAACTGGAGGAAATACTGCATTGATAGGCAAGATTACCACACACAACAGAGGGATATAAACAGAAAGACAATGCAGGACTGCAGAATGAAATGGTTGCTGGGTTCCAGCTAAATTGTTGGCTTGGGACCTTCATTGGTGCTACCCTGTCATTCAAGGCTTTGAACAAGTCCCTACATGTCTCTGGGCCTTGAGTGTCTTCCTCTGAAAAATGAGACTGTGGAACTAGAAAAATCTGAGGTCCCTCCAGGTTCTAAAAGTTTTCAATCGCAGGATGCTATACCCTACAAAAGGCTTTCAAAAACCTTGAACTTTTTCTAAATTTTTAGTTTAAGAATGTGCTATGTGAACCACAGGGTGGTCGGAAAATGCATCTCTCTCCCTCTCTCTCATCCAGGAGGAAGTTACCAAGCCCTTATTTCGGGTGATACAGGAGGGAAGCACACCGCTGTGAGTGTGGAGACGAGAAAGAGAATCGAGGGTTTGCTCCTGGGAGAGAAAGGTGGCCAGGCACAGAACAGCGAGGACAGCTCACGCCTACAAAGCTCTTAGAGGAAACTAGATGCCCTTCTAAACTTATTGTACATTCCGCTTGCTTCACGCCACTACAGCCTGGTAAGACTGGTACGCACTTTTCTTACCCACATCTTACAGGAAAGGAAACTGAAACAAAGGAGAATTTAAAGAACTTGCTAGTGGAAATTAGACCAGCATTCTTTCTCTGGAGTCTATGCTCTTTTTTTTAAAAAAAAAAGACTTTATTTACTTTTAGAGAGAGGGGAAGGGAGGAAGAAAGAGAGGGAGACAAACATCAGTGTGAGAGACACTGATCAGTTGCCTCTCATAGCTTCCCCGTACCTTGAACTCTGACCAAGGGCCAAATCCGCAACCCAGGCGTGTGCCCTAACTTGGAATCACACCAATGACATTATGCTTTGTGGGACAATGCCCAACCAACTGAGCCACATTGGTCAGGGCAAGTATATGCTCTTAATCCCAACAGTTACAGAGTGTGATTAGAGATTCCCAGGCAAGAAGGATATGAAAATATCATTTGTTCAATGAGACCTCATATTTCAACATATCTCCCATTCTTATAGTTTCGCTGTTGTTTCAAACTATATTTGAACACTGTTTATTGATATGAGACCAAATACCAAGTATCTTCATGTCATCGAAGCATATATGCATGCTATATATACCATTTATAAGATCATACTATATAACACAGGACTGACATATAATAACAGTACTTATATTGCCTTCTAGATTTTTGTTAAAATTAGGAAGAAAAACTCTCTCTCTCTCACTACGTAAGAGGCCCTTCGTGGGGAGAGGGTGACTGGTGAGGCCCCTACTGTATTCCGGCTCCTTGACATCCTTCCAGGAACTTTCTTCACTCCTATCGTAAAACCAGTCATTGATTTTTTATCTAATAAGAAAACTCAAGGATTTGTAAAAACAACCTCAAAATGCCTTTTTCCGTGTGAGGCTTTTACATGGAAAAAAGTAATTTTTAAGTGTCTCCATTCTTGCGATACAATCTACACTATTGCTATAAAAGGCAAACTGTCAAGACAGCATTAAGTCAGATGACTTTACGCTTCATAATATTGAAGTGCTCCTTTTTCCAATAAACATCAACTCTGTGGGAAAAAGTTGTAAAGCTGACATTGTTTTGACAGAAAGGCTGCTTTTGGTTTTGTTTTTCCAAGTCTGTGTTTAATATAACATAACAGAAAGCAAGCTGTTCTGCTCCAAATGAGTCTGAGAAACAGCAGCCGTACTGCTACTGAGCAGCGACATATCTTCGAGATGACTCAGGCCGCAGAGCAGAGAACACATCTGAGGTGACAAAATCTGTACAATTTAGCACAATCTGTACTTTAAGCTCTTGTAGAAATCAAATATGCTGATGCTGTAACATATTGTAAATGAAAAATGCAGGAAAATAGCTCTCATGGGATCGGAGATCAGAGCGCTACAAGGAATTCTAGAGGCTGGCCTAAATTCATAAATAAGGAAATGCAACCATATAGAGGTGAAGTGATTTGCCTAAAGAAATAAAATTCTCCTCTGATGGTGAATAACAATCACGAGGGGCAGGAGCAGAGGGAGGTAAGGGAAACCGTCTGGGTGGGTGACGTCCTGAGTGCCCCCCCTGCCCCGGGCTAGTCCAACCATCCACCTCTCCTGGGCTGAGTACCAGCTAGTACAGAAGGAGACAGGTCCCAGGTGGCAGGGGGAACATTTTAAAATTTTAGATTTTATTATTATTGAGGTCTGAAGAGGATACCAGGTCAGGGGACATTAGGTTGCCATTGAAAAGACAGTTTGTGACTATTCCCAAAAGGAAGAGGCCCAGCACACCATGCAGGGCCCCACAGGGAAGCTCCAGGGTGGCCGAGGAGGTGGACGAGCAAGGGGAACTGTGGATGAGTAACCTTTGTTATGGTTTTCATGGGAAGGAATGGGTGGGGCAGGGTAGACAGACTTGGCAGGTTTAGGACGGGCTGGTTTAAATAATTCCAGTGGGCTCTGCTGGTAGTCAGATGCTGTTCAGGAAGGGTTATAGTGGCCCAGAGTATAAGAGCCCAGCAAAGGACAACAAAGGAGCTGATGAAGCCCTGGAATGGTTAGTCTGCACAGGTAAGGCATGTTCAATGGGAAGTCCTTTGCTAATCTCTAGCAATTGGCTAATTCTGAGAGAGGAAGTTTCTTCCTAGTCAGTAAGGTACCAGATGTCAAAGTATCAGAAATACAGAAAAGAAAAAATGCATGGTTAAGTACAGGTTAGAAAAGAGAATCGGTACAAAACTTTCTGACCCCGGAGCTGGACAGGAGCCTGGAAGCTAGAGGCAGGCAGCCGTGGGTCAAAGATCAGAGAAGTGTCCTGGAGAGCACCTCCTCGGCTTCAGAGGAGCTGTGAGCTTTGTGCTTACTGTCCACCTACTCGGTCAGGTCAACTCTTGGCTGGCTTCAGTTCACTCTCCAACCTATTCTCCACCTTGCAGGCAGGGTAATACCTTGAAACTCAAACCATCCCCAACTTAGCTCCTCCCACTAGGCTGCCCGCACCCACTCCGCTCTGGCTGTACTTGTCTCCTTGCGGTTCCAGAACATGTCAAGCTTGTCCTGACCGAAGAGGCCACAACTCACTGCTCCCTGTGCCTCTGCAGTGCACTTGTGACTCAACAGGCAGCTGTCTCATCCTTGTTCTCTATCAACAGACCTGATCCATCTTTTATAACACGAACAATGTATGATTACGTAGATGTACTTAACTCATTATCCTATATTTACTTTCTATATTCTGGCTGATTTCCTAATTGTTATCAAAAATATTTTATTTTATAAAATATTTATTTATACAATATTTATAATACAATATATACTCCTACATGGTTTGTTTACTTGTTTATTTCTGCCTCCTACACTAAAAGCAGGGACTATATCGGTTTTAATCTAAAATTACTTCCCAGGTCCTCATACAGAGTTTGGCATGTGGTGAATGACCAAAAACTATTTGTTAAATAGAGTTTCAGTATTCATAAATATTGTCCCATATAAATGTCCTCGAATAATAGTATACCTGAAAATGACTTACATTTTTTCATCAATGGCTTGAGTATAATGTATGTTTAAGTGTTCTTACCAATTCTCATTTTTGTTTTGGCCAATAACAAGACATGAGGAAGGTAGACATTTTTCAAAGGCTGTAATGGGCTTGCATAGTCAGTGTTTGATGAAGGAAATTCGATTGTTTCTCCAAAAGTTAGCATCTATAAAAGACACATTGTAATTAACTAAAGTGGTTTGGAATAAGGAAAGAAAAAACAGAAGAACAAGTTTCTAAATCTCATGGCCACAAAAGCACTCTCACCTGGTCAATAAGAATGTTGTGAGACTGAGTCAAGAAATTCATTTTTTCTGTTTTTGAAGAGGGAGCTGTCTTGAATTTCTCTGCTTTTGTTAAGTCATCCAGCAAAAGCAAGCTTCTTACCAGGGTTAAATGAGATCGGGGAGAAATAAACTCACTTCCTTCAAGCAAATGTATTATGGCCTATTAAAATAAACATATTCCTGGTGATCATACTGTTTGCAATTCACTGAAACAACAGCCTAGCCATACTGCCTGTTACACATTCAGTACCTAATGGAATCTAAAATTCTCTCCTTTTGTTCTAAACCGAATCCTTTAGTAAATATCAATGTGAATGAAGCTTTCTTCATACCTGAAGGTTTGTTATGATGTCTGCCTTTAAATGCTTTTCTTGTAGGCCAATAATTACCGCTTGCATCAGGAATTCAGCCTCTAGCTCCTTGTCTCCCGCGCTTTTCGCCTCCACACACGCTTCATTGATGAGGCTAACGTAATCTGTCATATCGTTTTCTAAAATAAACACGTGTAGTCATTAAACTGCACTGAGAAAGTAAGAAGGTAGATGTGCATGATACACCTCACGTTCATCACAGGAATATTGTCTAATACAGAAGGGTAGGAAGACACAAAGAAAACAAACAGAGCACATGAAACATGAAATAAATGTTTTAATGTGGGAGGAAGTACTTTAGAGTATCTAAATGCTGCAAAAGTATTAATAATACTGCATGAAATAACTTCATTTGGGAGATGGATAGAGATGGGTGGATAAATAGGTTTACAAGTAGATAATTATTAATCACTATAAGAACTAACTAACATTCATATGAGCCAACCTGTGATCTAAGAACTTTATAAATTTAACTCATTTAAGTTTAACAACAATCCTATGAAACAGGTACACTTATCTCCATTGTACAGAGGAGGAAATTAGGCACAGGGGGATTAAGAGAGTTGGCCAAGGTCACACAGCAACGAAGTGGTAAGAGGAACAGCTGACCCAAGGCAGCGGGCTCCAGAATCTGTGCTCTGGGCCCCGTACGCTAGTCTGCCTTCCCGGAGGACAAGAAGACCTGCGCATCGGCATTTTAAAATCTTGTTGCCTGCTTTGCATACACCAGTAACGTGTATATCATTGGATGCTAGAGATGGTTGAAAATGATTATTCTTATTTAATAACCTGAATTTTTTGTTCTGGAAACACATTAAGCTAGAGAGTTATAAAAGGTTAATGTTATAGTAAACTCTATCCCAATAAAAACTCTGTTACCTACATAAAGTCACTTTAAATAAAAACTTTAAGAAAACAGGATATTTGTACCTTTCACAATTCCAATGCCACGGATCTGCGCGACAAAGGCTGTCACCAACGCCAAGCGGCACCTCAGCCACAAGTGAATGTTGAAATATTCTCGAGAATTTAGGGAAATGGGATCTAAAAATTCATCGTCTTTAATTTCAGTGGCCTAGACAACATTAAAATTATGGTTAATTTCACATTCAATAATGTCTAAGTTCTAGCCTAATGCCAAATATGATATGAGTTAAAAGAAGCATCCAATATCATTTAACAGTATTAAATTTTAATTTTGAAAATTATGCTTGCATATTCCATAAAACATGAGAAACACACAGAGAAAACAAACAAATAAGAGCACCCACAACCTCACAACCCTCTGTTGACAGTTTTGGGGCGCGGCTCTGTAGCTTTCCTTTTTATCTTTATACCCATTGTTGAAAAATGGTCTGAATTTTTCATTGCAAATTTTATTATCAGCAGATTCCATGTCCTCAAAAATTTTTTAAACATCACCTTAAAGACTGAATAATAATAAATAATACTGGCTAATATTTATCAAGTGCTTATCATGTGCCTAGAAAAGTTAACTATTTGCTTAAAATTCATCATATTTTGGCAAAGGTGGGCTTCAAACTTGTGTCTTTCTGACTTCAGAGCCCACGGTCTTAATCCCTTGTGTTCCATTGCTGTTTTCAGCTTACATCTCAAACATATGACACTTTACAAAGGGTGGCTGGTGTCTAGAACTCCTGGGAGGGAGGTGCAAAGAAAGCTTTTTCCAGGGGCTGGCAGAAATCAATCATATTTAGACACTTGGGAACTCCAAAATCATTTAGACCAACGCCCATTTGTTCTGGGAATTTCCTGCTTTGCATCTCTGACAGTTCATCTTCTCCTACCAATCAGCAGCACCTGCTATCAAGGAGCAGCTTTCGGGACTGGAGGGGGGGCTGGAAGGGAGCTGGAATCTGGATGGACAGTTGAGAAGGACAGAAGAGGAGGAAGAGCTGCTCCTGGAAACAGAGTAAGAAGTGAACAGAGGCCTGGAGGCGCGCTGGTGACCACACCAGACACGAGTAATGGAGGGTCTAGGGTCTAGATCGGCAGCCCGCAAGTCCCATCCGCCTCATCCACATACCTCACTCTCTCAGTGCCTACAGCTCCTGTTGCTATGGAAGAGCCAAGTCACAAGTCGCTCTAAGTCAGGGTTTCTCCGCCTTGACACCACTGACACGGTGTGCCAGGCAACTGTTGTGGCAAACTGTCCTGTGCACTGTCTGACAGTGGTCAACAACCATTCCTCTAAGTCAATTCTCAGAATTAGACTGCTTATTAGAACTTGTATTACTTTTAATATAGTAAAAAATGAGTATCTATTTAAGACAATTAATTTTACTTCATTGTAATGAAAATAGATATTAGCAATTTTATTAGTAAAGTTTAAAATTACGAGGGGAGATTCTATGCAACGAATCTTTATGTTTCAAACAATGCTTTATTATTAAATTACTTGATCTTATCAAAAATCCAGTAAAATATCAAAGAATTTGCAACATCCGTTGTCAACGGATTGGAGAGCTGGGTATGGGAGAACACAGCCAGGAGAAGTCCAAGGTGGGGAACAGCCCAGGCGCCACACTGGCGATGCTACAGTGACAGCTAAAAAGTGACGTGAAGAGCAAAGTCAAACGAAACGACTTTGCTAGTGAAGTCAGATGTCGACTTCTATACTGATACGTTTGGTGGGACTTTAGTGATGATGACATCCAATTCCATCAGTTCACAAATGAGATTTAAATTTAAATGTTGTTACAGAAGTTTAAGGGACTTGCTCAAGGTACACCAATCAATAAATTGCATAAACTGGGCTTAAACCTGGATCTTTATTCTCTATATTCAGTGTTATTTCTACTTTACCCCCTTGTTGCACCCAACTAATGAGACAATTTTCTAGCATGCCAATAGTTATAATAAGGGTAAATATGAAATTCATACATACAGAAGTTCCTGTCGAGAGGGAATTCTCTCTGTCATCTTGTTCTACCTTCTTTTTAAAAAGTTTTGAATCCTGGAGGAGTTTAAGCGTGGAAAACACTATTGCAGCACTAAAATAGAGAACATATTTTAAGTGTTGCTAGTATTACACTGGTGGCATCTGTTATTTGCTAAGGCTCTTCCTCTGGAAAACCTTCCCACTCTCCCTCCACCCCAAAGTTGTGAGGTGTGACTTGTATGGGCCCTAACAGCACCCCGGTCTTAACCACAGGGTAGTACTACCACACTATCTAATGGCCTGTAAACTGCTCTGCAGCTAATGTGTCTTATTGTGCCCTGTTGAAACCCAGCACCTAGAGGCTGGGACAGAATAGAACCTAAAACATATTTTTTAAATGAAAGTGAGCAAATACAAGAATAAATAAATGAAAGTTTCCAATGTTTAGAACAAAATTTACTAACAATAGCACTAATAAAATGAACATATATGCATTTTATATAAATCAGAATATGGTTCTCCAGATTTTTGAGGTTACAATACGGTTACTCAATGCTATATACTTAGAAATTCTTAAGCTAAATTATTGCTTAATCAGTGTCTAGCCAGAGGAAAACGTACTAAATTAAGAACATAGAACCCAGGAAATAGGAATTCTTTTTTGCTGTCACTCTACACATAAATTTGCACTGCAGACCGGCACGCCTTCCACCCCTGAGAATAATAAATTTACCACTGACATCACAGTTTTCCAAGCCTATATAAAGAGGCTTCTTCTTCTGAAAATCTATCCCCAAAGAGAAAAGTCTATACACCTGAAGATGCTTATCACGGCGTTATTTATAACGTGGGAAGACTGGGTGAGGGCCAAATGGACAAAACACCCATCTATCTAATTCCCAACTTGGTATCTCCACTTGAATAGTTCATTGGCGAGCACATTTAACAGGTGTTATAGGCTGAATTGTGTTACACCCAAAAGGCATGTTAAATCCTAAACCTTAGTGCCTCAGAATAAGGATCTGAGGAAATCAGGTTAAGATGAAGTCATTAGGGCCGACCCTATTCCACTTTAACTGGTGTCCCGATGACACAGAAAATTTGGACAGACGAACATCCACAGAGGGAAGATGAAGTGAAGACACGAGGAGAGAACACGGCCACGTGACTGCAGTGACACACCCACAAGCCAAGGAATGCCAAGGGTTGTCAGCAAACACCGGAAACTAGAAACAGCACGGCAGGGCTCTCGTCACTTGCAGCTGTCAGAAAGAACACAGCTGCTGACCCCTCGATTTTGGACTTCTAGCCTTCAGTACAGTGAAACAATAAAATCCTATTGTTTTAAGTCACCCAGTTTTTGGTCCTTTGCTATAGTAGCCCTGGGAGACTGATAGAACAGGTTACAAGCAGCTCCCCTTGCTCACACCTCCTCCGCCAAACCCCGTCCTCTTCTCTGCCCTCTATCCCAGGCAGAGCCCAGAACCATCACTACTTCCTCTCGGACTCACACTCTATGTTCAATCCATAGCCAGTGCTGTCAGCTTCCATTTGGAAATAGGGATGCCTGCCAGCAGCTCCTCACTTCCCCTCCTCCACTGCTAAGGCCTCTGTCCAGGCTGCATCATCTCTGGGCTGGATGGCCACAGGAGCTTCCTGACCAGCCTCCCACAGTGGCTCACGCCCTGCTGTCCTGGCCTCCAGACAGCAGCCACAGCAGTCTCATCAAGGCGGAGCTCAGATGGCGACACTTCACTACACCTCCTCATTTGGGTCAGTTACTGAGGTGTCTGGCCTAGCTTGTGATCAGCTTGGTCAGTATTCATGGTCTCTGTGTGTAGGATCCCAGAGTATTACAGTGGGATTATTATAATAATCCCACTGTAATACTCATAGTGTTGAGCACCTGCTATGGGACAGGAACAAATCTAAGGTCTGTGGACACAGCTCTGGCCCTTGTGGAACTGAAATTCTAGTGAGGGTGGGATGTGCTCAGAAAGAGGAGTTCATGACAAATAGACAGCACCCAGTGCGTGCTAGCTGTTATCATTATTACTATATTGAGTTAGGCAGGAGGACTGGGGAGAGGAAACTGCATTGATTTTCTTCTAGGTTATTAACCAGAAGGAGAAACTTTGTGCAATTATTGAATTTTAAATTCCCTAGATTCCTCTGAGTCATTAAAATGGTATAGAAACTTGTAGATGAAGGTATTGTTTCTGATTGTATGAACTTACTGGTTTTTAGTTAAAGTAAAACTAAATGAACAAGCAAGAAAACAACAAGGAAAAATGTAACACTTATTCATTAGGTATAAAGGTATGAAAATCCCTCTTTGCCACATATGTTTCTATGGCCCCTGGTTTACTGGGTAGCTCCAGAGGCTGGTACAGGATGGCTACGGGAGGACCCTGGGGAGAAAAAGTGATGCTCCTACCAGCCTTCTGATTCCGAAGTCCAAAACTGTGATGTCAAGAGAAAGCAGGATTGGGGTTTGGAATCTGGCTAATCCCAAAAGTTAATGAATAAAATATAAACACATTAGTACATAATAATCCACCTGGTGTTAGTATGCACTAATCCACCTGGTACTACTTAGTTGCAAAACGGAAAATTTCCATCATCTCCTCTCCACTTGAGAGACAAAGTGTAGGAGGATCACCCACCACCGATGGTCTAAAGCCCAAAGGTAGGAAGTTTCATTCTGACACAAAATTAAAAGGCTCAGGTGTTATCTCATTTAAACAATAAATGAAATAGAAAAAAAGAACAGAAAGGAACACTTTTTTTTTAAAGAAAGAATTCTGAGAGAGGCAGCCCTAAAAGAAGTAGAAATATAGTCTGAATAACTTTGATCCCATTTATTTCTCATTAATATTCATGACAAAATGGTCAGTTTGTTCTCCTAAAACCCATGCGGCTCACTTTACCTGTCACCCCAGGGAACGTGTCTTTCAGTTTCCTTGACGTGTAATTTTATTAGAAGTATCGTGAAATGTCAAGCTAACCGTCATCTGGGAAAGAGACTGTCCAACGCTTTCAGCAGCTCCCAGACAGAAGCTCGCGGGAGGTAAAGTTCACCTAAGAGAAACTCATTCATCCTGACAGCAGGCTTCCCCAAATGACAACTCTGCTGCGAAGAGGCGGTAACATCAAAGTTTTTGCAGGTTTTGTCCCAAGGACCAGGTTCGTGTTAAAACAGGAGTGATTCGGATACACTTGCACGTTATTTGCATATGTCTATTTGGTCTGCAAATTAAAGTGCTACTGTAACACTCCTTCCTGTGGCCATTTTGTAATTTTTAGTTTCTACTTCTTCCCTACAAAATAAAAGTCACTTATATTACTCCACACCAAAAGGGTGTAAGACATGCAGAGAGCTAGGAAAAGAATGAAGGTATGCGAACAAAAAACAGGTTTTCCAGGCTGCTGTTGCTGTGTGACGCACTGAGAAAAGAGTTCTGTATTTTCTATATTTTTCTAGAGGAAATCATATAGTCATGTATTTTATTGTCATTAACATATAAATACTTAAATATGTTCATGTCATATACTTTCTATAGGAATCATATAGTAAAAGTTTCTTCACTCTTCAAACTTCAGTGAAGAAAATGGCATATTACTATCCTAAGCCTATGTCATCATCCATCACCTACCATAGTATTCTCAAAGACAGCTATGAATGTGCCAATACACTAAACCAGTACTTCTCAAATTCTTAAAAAATTTCAGCACTCAGTTATACCCTTCAGAATGATTGAGAATCCCAAAGAACTCCATCAATATTTACCATATTAGACCTTGAGCTGAAGTTAATTAAATATGTTTAACTTCGTATTTACTAATTTGTCTTAAAATAAAAACAAGAAACCCATCACATGCTAAATTAATAATGCGTTTTAATGGAAAACAACTATATTTGCCAAAAGATCAAGAAAATGAGCACAAATGATGCCACTGTTTACATTTTTACAAATTTGCCTAATGTCTGGTTTAAGAGAAAATCTATTTAATAGAAGACTTTCATATCTGCTTCTCCATTCAGTCTATTGTAACATATTGTTTTGACTGAAGTATATGAGGACTAGGCCCTCACACAAATAGTTGTTGGAAATGGGAAGAGTATTTTAACAGCTTCTTCAAACAATTGTGAACATTATTCTTTGGGACTACACAACACTGTGATAAGCTCTAGTTTCTTAAAAGTCTGTTGCCATGTGGCACCTGGCACCACACACTGATGAACTTTCCCTACTCTCTTACATGAAACCTGTTGGTCCAGCTCGTTAACCAGGACTTTGGAACATCGTGGATTGGTCATTTGCAAAATATTAGCTCTCTGAGTTTATGCAGACTCCTTTGAAGCTGAAACATTTCATCACTCAATTTTGAAAATGATACTTGTTAATATTACTACCAATCTCACCAGAAAAATAAGCATTAGTAAACCGTCAAGTTCATGGTGGCAAATACGAATTTTCCAAAATTCTAATTTTCCCACGAAAGGTCAGATGTCATGACTGGTAACCAATACGATTGGCTGTTTTCCTAGAAGTGGCATGTCCACTGTGCTCATTTTCAACAAAACACCTGTCAAATACTCAAGTCAGAGTAACTACATTTTGCAGGGGTTTTTTTCCCAAATAAAAACAGCATTCCATGAAAAAAAAACCAAACAGCTGTTTGCCTCTCAGGTCCATCACACATGTGCTTTCTCGAGACGACGAGCAACCCCATGTGCGACACAGGTGCTGCGGGCGTTAGTTCCCGCCTCGTGTTCCCACAGCACATTATAAACAGAGTCAAGGAGAGGGAGTCATAGATGTAACAGACCCTGCCGCTCCACGGAAGGCACCCGCCAGTGAAGCTGACCCCTTTCCGACTGCAAGTGTGTGGTGGTGAAGCAGCCGTGACTACACATGTGGCCGCTGCTCTGACCCACAGGGAGACCCGGAAGCGTCACCACTGTTGCTTTCACAGCATCGATGGAAGCCACAACACAAGAAGAAGGCGAATGGAATCCTGGTTTTATATTAACAGTGGTTTGGATCACACAGACCCCTGTAAAGCTCTCAGGGACGCACCCAGAAGTCTGCAGACCACACTCTGAGAATCACTGCTCCAAATAGGCTTTATGGATTTCATCACTGCTTAGAAACCACAAAAAGTATAAATTTCCAAAAACTTATACTGCCTCTAGCATAAAATCAAACCTAGAGGTTGTTAATCACAGAATGGCCTTCAGTCAAGGCTCTCACTGATGAAATGATTGTATGTTTCCAATCAAAGCAAAAGGGGATTTCTGCTGAATTGATTGCCCCCTTTGCAAAAGCTGCAGGGGGGGCTCCTCCTTTACGAAGAGAATGACCATCTGAAAATTAGCTCCCGTTCCAAATTCTGAATGAATGCATGGAGTTTAGTGCATGGAATTTGGGTATAATAAAAAAAGCTGGAAGATTAAAACAGACAATGTATTTAATCTGAAGTTTTCAGAAAATAATAACTTCCTTGAATAATATAAAATAAGTAGGCTCTATTAATCTAGGAATTGATAAAGTTTAGTCATATTTTAACAAATCCGGGTGAGGAGAGCTCTCCCAGGGGCATGGAGACTCACCTGTAGGCAGCCCGGTGCCTCTGCAGGGCGATGGCAGCCAGCTGCAGCTGGGCCTGCACCACGACCTCCAGGGGGCCCGCGGAGCACTGGGAGAGGCTCTTCTGGCCCGGCTGCCCCAACTCGGACACAAGGGAGTTTAGCTTCTCTTCGGCTTCTGTCAGTAAAATTGACTAAAAAAAAAAAAAAGAAGACCACACAATCACACAAGTTCGGAAATAATACAAATAAGATCTCATTCTTAGCCATCAAGTATTTTTTGTACTGGCAAGTAATGACAAGTGAAGATCAAAAAAGGAAATTTGATTATCATCAGTGAGCAGCAAAAACACAACAGAGAATGAAAAGGAAAGTAATGGCAAGAGTAAACATGTACAACAGTTGCCCTTCAGTGAATGTGCAGCTGACGCTCACGCATGCTTATTTACAGCAGTTACGTTCAATAAAGTTGCTACAAACACTGAATTAGCAAACACTGAACCATTTTTCTTAGGGGAAATACAGGAATATGCTCCTAAGAGCCTCTGGCCACAACATTTGTTGCCAACTGATCAATATATAACCTTGTGTTCAATGTGTGTTTATGTTTAAAAACATATTATTTAATATCTACTGTAGATTCGTAAACCTTGAACCCACAGTCAATAGCTCTATAACTAATGCCTGACTGAAACTTAACTAACCCACTTCTTTTCTCCATAGGGCATATCATAAGCCTCTTGTACTTAGAAACACTGAACAGTACTTCAGCACTAGAGCTTGTGGGTCATAATAAAACCAGCAACAAAAAAACACAACATTAAAAAAAAACATGGCAATAACTAGACTGTGAAACGGACACTTATTTATAGTAGGAGAGTGGAAACAAAAGCTCAGTGCTTTGCCTCGTTCGACCCAGCTGGGCAAGTGTAGGCTGGGCAATGCACACCTTTCTATGCTCTATCATGTCCACAGATGAGCACAAAAAAGCCATAAATATTGATTTGGGTTATAAGTAAATTTTAGAATTAGCAAATACTAAATCTGTGAATAATAAGAGCCTACTGCATTTCAAGTTAGCCATGTCACCTCACGGGTAATGTGAGGACAATGAGATTTTACAGGGGGCCATCAATGGGAAATCACAACCTGACGTGGCAAAACAGAAAGGGACCGGCCAGTCTTTCCAGGAATGGGCCTCTGAAGTCTTGGGTGTACAGAGAAGTAAACACTGTATCAGCTCTAAGCCAATCTGCATGACGGTTAAGTGCATGATCTGTATTTGATTAGTTGTATAGTGTTAGTGAATTTCCTCCTGTCTAAGCTTCAATTTTCTCATGGTTCAGCACAACACAGTTCAAAAACGATTAATACCTACACCATATGCCTGTGAAAATAATCACACATAATGCCTGTCGTGTGGAAAGACTGAATACATGGTAGCTGTTTTTGTTGCTATTGTTTCACTATTAATATTAGGGAATGAGTCACAGGGTTTGGAACACTGAAGTGCTATCAGATAGAAAACTGCATGTCCTGCAGCACCCAGTTGGGTTGTAGATTCGGAGTCTGACACCCCTGGGTTATCCGACTTTTCTCACAGGGAGCAGACTCCACCTCAGCCCAGACCAGGCCTAGGCAAGAGATCTACTTGGTCTCCTAACAGCAAGCACAACCCGGAAAGGGGCCTGTCAGTAGCCACAAGGTGGGCATCCTGGTAACTGATTTACTGTGACTTGAAAACATTGTAAAACTTACCTTTATTGTGCTAACAGTGAATTCATCTTTCACTTTTCTAAGATGACTAAGATGATTAAATGAGTTTCTATCATCCTTTAAACAGAGATCTATAAAACACAAAATTTTGAAAGAACCAAGGACATCTGTGGTTAGTTTAAAAATTAAAAATTAGTTTATAAAATGCATCACTAATTGGGAAACTATCCATAGGTTTAATGCTAAAAACCCTACAATAGTAACTAGAAATATACTGCTATATTAAATAGTCTCTAAACATCACACATTAAAAGACCGAGACCAATTCTTACAACAAATCAGACATTTCTGAAAGGATCTTTTGGATGCTTAGTGATGTTATTTGAGTGATCAGATGCTGGTTCCTGCCCTAGAAATTCCAGAACCTCTTAAGGTCCTCAGAGTATTTAGGGTCTTCCAGATATTTATAATATTTTAATAAGATCTTCTTGGAAGCATCAGTTCTTCTGATTTTCACAAGCTCTAGGACTGGAGAACGACACCATTTGAAGTAGCACAATTGATAATCCTCAAATATCTCCAAATTCCCACCCACAATACGAAGTTGGCCCTTATTCTTTGTCAGGGAGAATTGAGAGAATTTATATCACAGACATTGCCTGCTTTGGTAAGCACGGCTTTCAGACTACAGAAAAGAGAGAAAAACTAATGCAAGTCATTGTTTGACCAGGAATTACTGCAAAAATTGCCCACCTAAGACACTAAGTGTGGCGAGGAGGAAGAAGGAGTCTGGAATAACACGAGTCCGAACACATCTCACTTCCTCTCGTCGCGCTGCCTGGCTCTGCTCCTGCACTGGGAGGTTCTGGAGCTAGAAGTGGGCTGAGCCTAAGTGAAGGCGTGAGCCCTGGGAAAGGCCCAGCAGGGAGACCTGGGCCTGGGTCTTCTTCCCGAAGGAAGACAGTGAGAGGCAAAGAAAACAAACGCCCGGAGCCTGACAGCAAAGGACCCTGGGAGGAGGGAGCATCAGCCTGAGGGCGCATGGACCCTGGCAGGATCCGACCCGAGTTTTCCTCACTGCTTCTCCCCGGGCGGCCCCTCCATACTGTGGCACAGCCCTGCTCTGGGGAGCTGTACACCACGAACTGTGTTCAAAGCAGCCACCTTCTAATCTGCTGGCCTTACTAGATCAGAATAATAATAAAATTTACATCTTAAAATAGAGGCCAATATTACTCTGATATCAAAACTAGACAAAGAATCACAAAAAAAAAGAAAAATACACACCAATACTTTTATAAATACGGATTTGAATATCTTCATCAAATATTAGCAAACAGAAACCAGCAACACATAAAAAAATTATACACCATGATGAAGAAAACAAGATTGGTTAAACATTCAAAAACCGATTAATATAATATACCATATTACTATAAAAAACCAAAAGTCACAGAATCATCTGAATGGATGCAGAGAAGGCATTTAACAAAATCCAACACTCTATCATGACAAAAATCATTCAACAAACTAGGAATGAAAGAGAAATTCCTCTATGTGATAAAAGACAGATATATAAAACCCACAGTAAATATCGTACTTGATGGTGAAAACCAATCATTTTTATGATGATGTCTAATACATTTGCAAACCACAGCTGCACTACGTATGGCCTACAAGTTCCATCGTGGGCACCTTATCCCGTGGAACTTCCCACTGTATCACATGGACCGGCAGCGCTTCAGCCCTGCTCCCTGGAAACAAAGAGAATGCAGTGGATGGGGGACTATGTGAGTAGCCGCAGGACGCTCACAGCAGAGAACACCGCACAGCCGGGACAGTGAACCAACGCAATGCAGTTGACGTAAGAATGGTTTTAGTGAAATTCTTCTGCATAAGAAAGGCAAGATGCAGAAAAAATATAGAAATACTTCATGTGAATACATGACAAATTCTATTTGGGGTGTGTGTGTATATATAAAGTACGGCCATGGAGATATATGGATAAATGTGACCCCAAACATAAACATAAATACATATGTACATGATTAGTACATTTAGAAGAAAATATGGAAGAACAGACATTAAATTGTTCAGAGGGATTACTGGGGTGAAGACGGGTATAGTTGGAAACAGTGAGAAGAAAGAAAAGCAAGCAAACAATAAGGCAGATCACCTTTCAAGCTGGGGAGGTTGGCTCTGCTCCTCTCGGACAAAAATCCATGGTAGACTGTTCTTAATAGATTTTCTGGGACACAATTTATCGTTGCAGCCACACTTACTAGCAAGTATGCTTTCGCAAAAGAAAACTTGTTTAAGAGATGCTGATGGCCAATTGTAACCAGAACCTGAGGCAAGCCTTTCTGTATTAATTCATCAAGTGCCTAAGGAAAATGGGGGGAAAATTCAAAAGATAAATAAGTAAAATACTGGTTTTAGATATCATTAGCTCTAGTCTTCTCTTGCATTCCCCATCTGGTTCGGGGTGAGAAAACGCAGGGGCAGACGCAAGGTACCATAAATAGAGAAACGGCAGCTCCCCACCAACCTGTGACCTGTGTCTCACGGGACCAGCCCGACCACATGACGAGAGTGAACCAGGGCTGCAAGCAAGGGAAGCGACACCTGCAAAACAGAGAAACTGCAAAAGCTCATCAGCCACGCATGCTGGCTGCTCTGCTTTAACAGGAGTGAGTTAGGGCTGTGAGGACAGGAGTGGGAAGAGTGGGTGGATAAGCAAGCTCCCTCCAGGCTCAGATCCACACTCAATCATTAGAACTCCGCCCTGTGCACAGCCTCAACTCCCTGACCCCAGTCCTGTGTGTACACTCTTCCCCTGCCAGATCACAGCCCCGGAGAAGTCCAACACGGAACCTCCCTGGGGCACGCACCCTGCCATTGGAGGCGGCGGGAGAAGATCATGCAGTCATGGCCAACGCTCCCACTTTAAGTTCCCGACCAAACCTCAGTGCTGCCCAGTCCTTCTACATGTTCCCAGTCCACTTGTTCTCACTCTCTCCTAGACAACCATCTTCGCACTTCTCTTGTTGCTCAATGTTAACTCTTCCTCCCTAATGTCTCTCCCAGTGAATGACCTTGCTTTCTCTACTTAACTGAATATTGAAGCAAAGTAGTGTCCACAGACCCCACAAATGCCACCATCTCTCCAACCTACCCAAGCGCCTGCCCCGCCACTCCACCTTCCTTTCTGGCACTTAAGCCACCCCACCGACCCTGTCCCCACTGGTCTACTCGTTCTCCCTGCATCGTAAATGTGCCTTTTCTACAGTGGCATTCCCATCAGCACACAGCCATGCTGTCTTCTCCACCTCAAAAGACGAAAACCCTATAACCTGACTCTCCAGCTACTCCCCTAATTCTTGCTCCTCTTTACAGCATGACCTAAAGAGTTGTCAATACTCTCATTTCTCTCCTTTCATTTGCTTATAAACCCACTCCTTCCCTACACTGAAACCCTTTGGTCAATGTCACCAATGGCCTAAACTTGACTAATCCAATGTTCAGTCCCTAGTCCTCCTTTGTCATATTACTTATAATCTAAGACAGCAATTTTCAACCACAAGAATTCTTCCACAAGATTCTTGCCACAAGAATTTTGAAAAGATACAATCCCTGACTATTTAGTCAGGAGCGCTGATCTGTTTTCTCTTAGATTGTCAAATTAAAAAATGACAACAGTCAACACAATAGCTGTCTGGTGTGAAAGAATCAAAATTGCACCTGTATTTTTTTCTCAAAGAGGGAAAAATATAGTTTGGTGTGCCACAGAATTTTAATAATGGGTTTATGTGTGCCATGACATGAAAAAGGTTGAAAAATCACTGATCTATAAAACATTATCTCATATGCCAATTAAACTGTCACAGGGTTACAACTGTAAAATTTATTCTAATTTCAGAGATGTTAAATGTGAAAAAAAATAGCATTTTTAGGACTCAGTAAATTATAGTGTTTGATTCATTAGCAACATTTGACACTATTAATCATTCTCTCTTCTGAAAATATTTCTCTTAGCTTTCAGGCCACCGTGCTCCCTTGATTTCTTTCCTACTGGCCACCCCTCATCAGTCCTCCTTGCTGGTCCTTCCCGCTCTCCACCACCTCTTAACACGGGAGGGTCTCAGGGCTCCGGCCTCTTTTGTCTCCTCACTCTCTCCCTTAGATGATCTTAATCAGGCCCGGGGTTTTAATTTCATGTAAATGCTGATGACATAAAAGTTTTTTTCTCCAGCTCCAATCTCTCTTCTGAACTCAAGACACATATAATCAATTTCTGACTCAATACCTTCACTCAAATATCTAACTGGTACCTCAAACTGAACGTGTCCGGAACTGCACTCCTAGCCGACCCCCACAAACCCGCCCTCCCCGACACACACACGTGCACACACACTCAAATGTAAAGCTCTGAGAAGGCTGGGGATCTGTATGGTTGATTCACTGCACTAGGACAGTATGGTAATACCCAGTAGGCTCCACGGATTAGCTACAGTAATCCTTTTGAAACATAAGCAGATCAGGCCACACCTCTGTTTCAAACCTCCCAGTGGCTCCCCCTTCTGTTCAGAGTAAGAACCGGAAGGGAAAAAAAAAAAAAAAAAAAAAAAAAAAAAAAAAAAAAAAAAAAAAAGAACCTAACTCGCAAAGGCCCTACAAGGCCCTTGTCAAACGGGCACCCTGTCAGCTCTCCAACCTCATCCCCTGCTGCTCCCCCATCATTCACACAGTTCTTGTAACGCCGGCCAGCATGCTCCTCACCGTGACCTTGGCAATCACTGTACCACCTTCCTAGATTATTCTTTCCCCGTACTTCATATGACTTGTGTCTTTACTTGTTTCAAATCTACTCACAAATACCACCTCAGTGAGGACTAACCCGATCACCCCATTTAAAGTCACAACCCCCAACAAAGCCCCACGTTCCCAGTCCCCTTTACACAGTGCTGGGTTCATTCCCCCCAGAGCATGGGTCACCTTCTAACATACGGCATCATTTACTTATTTATCACGTCTAACCGTATGTTTATTACTAGCCTTGCCCACTAAAATATAAGCTTCCCAAGGGCTTGGAGTTTGTCTGTGTTATCGAATGATGTGTTTATTTCACAGTACTGGAATAGCGCCTTGCCTGCAGTGGGCTCTTATTACAGATTTGTTGAATTAATATGTAGTGCAGAAGCTGGGGCTGTTTATTCTAGAAAAGAAGGAAAGTATTTGCTTTACGTGAATGCAAAGAAAAAAAAGTTCTCATTGTTTTGGGGGGCATCTGAGGCACTGCTGGCAGCGGGGAGGTCAGCTGCTACTGTTCCTTCTCCTTTCGCAAACCCCTCCTAAATTAGGGGAGGAAGGAACACGGGGAGGAAGAGCCAGACTGGGAGCAGCACTGAGCGGAGCCGCAAGGGACTGTGGTGGAAAATGGCTGATGTTCCAGGTCTGGAAAAAACCCGGCAGAGCCACTGGGGGGATGGGAAGAAGGAGTTTTCTCTTCTCTTTTCTCTTCCCAGCAGCGATTTAATGAGTCTTAACAATTACACACAAACACTTGAGAATCAAAAGAAGATTAATTAGAAATGCTATTTAACACTCCTTCCTCTCACTCTGCACAAAAAAACGCAAAGTGTAATCTGAAGAGTCTTGAGCAGACCAACAGCTCTGTTTTAATTAAGCAGCTAATAGAAATCAGTTTTCCATTATTCGATGAGTCTCTTTTGTTTAAAAAGAAATAGGAAGGCAGACATTCTTTTTAGATTCCCAACCACTCCTTAAAAAAGTGTTTTTAGGATGCTTTGGCATTTATAACTGGAAAGAAATAAATATTCTTAAGCATCCCAAGATCTTGGAACACTAAAATGAAATATGAATATGTATTTATATCTTTCTAATACCAGCTCTTTCATTTCAGGCAGCTTGCTTATAAATTAAACTTTAAAGCACAAACAATGAATTATCTGAAGCATAATTGTATGTAAAGTTTGTGAAATTAAATAGAAAAGTAAAAAGAATACATTTAATAAAAGGTGGATATATTCTTATTAAAATTAGGAAAAATGAAAATAAAGCAATTGTGAAGACGTGTCTCTCAAAATTATTTCATGAAAAAAATATCTTTCTCAATAAAACAGAATGCTGTTTCCTAGCATTTAAAAATTCAAACGATCTGCACTTGCCCACATGCAGGAGCTGTCACTGGGGAGAGCGAGCCCTGCCTGTCCACTACCCCTTCACCAAGTGGGTGCACCACCTCTCCTGTGCTCTAACGCCTTCTGGAAGACAGACTGTCGACAGCCCTGAGATCTTTATAAATGATTATCTCCAGTTCGTTCAGTGCTACTAGGTCAGAAGCTTAAATCCCAACCATTCAATTACTGACAAGAATGAACACATTGAGAGGGGCAGTCCAGCCCTCTCTTTGTAAGAAATGTTGGGGAGATCAGAGGAGCCGCTATCTCCATGGTGGTAACGGTAGTGCAATATAGAAATGCATCAAAATAGCATGTGTACACCTTACACTTATACAATGTGATATGTCGATTACATCTTAATAAAAAACGTTAAGTAAAAGAAGAAAAGAGCAACTTCCAAACCATTGCCTGAAAGGCAGTCTCAAACTGGGGCAAAGGATAGGAGTAAAAGCTGGGTTGAACAAGTGGGCTATTGCAAAATATACAAAGTCGTTCTCTTATAATCAAGGTCAGCCATTATTGTGCAGGTAATCAAATATCAAAGTGAGATACTTGACACAGCTAGATGAACAAGCTGAATACACATGTGTAATCAAAAACTTTAGGAGCAACAGCTGATATTTGCCCAATTCAAAAACCAGATCAGTTTGGGTCCAATCTTACCTTACCTCTGGCCTCAGCATTTTGAGAAATCAAGGAGTGCAGTACACAGAGGATTTTCAAAAACAAAGATTACAGCTACCCCATAGGTTTAAATGACTCAAAAATTATCCGCACTCTATATCCAATGTTTTTAAACTACTGGCATCCTTACCTGTATGTTTTCTTTACTAGTAAGAGGCTTTCCTGAGTCAAATGATTGAAAGGCCTGTCAACATACAAAATATTAACATTAGAAACAAAAAAATTGAGTGTTCTTTTTTTAAGATTTTATTTATTTATCTTTATAGGGGAAGGGAAGGAGAGTGGGAGAGAATATCAATGTATGGTTGCCTCTCATGCATCCCCTGCTGGGAACTGGCCTGCAACCCAGGCATGTGCCCTGACTGGGAATCGAACTGCAACCCTCTAGTTCCAAGGCCCACTCTCAATCCACTGAGCTACACCAGCCAGGGCTTGAGTGTTCTTTTAAATAAAACTGTTAATGTGTTCTAAATGTATTTTAAACCTCATGTTTACTATAAAAGTACTACATGTTATAGTCAGGAAAGACAAGAATAATAGAAAGACAGTAATTGTCACAGATAAATCAACTTTTTTAGGTTGCCAATGTCAATATTTTAATGTCTTTTTAGATGTATTTTATTTCCTTTTATTTTTTAATTGTTGTTCAAGTATAGTTGTCTCCACTGTATTTTAAAATTTTACATACAGATCTGTATTCCTTTTCACTGCACGTTACATCATAATCATTTTCCCGCTCCATTATCTGTGAACTTCAGCCTGGTGGCCGGGCCATGCTCTGTCCTCTGACTGTGGCATAGTAACTTCAACTCTTCCCTCTGTTAGACATGGAAGGGGAGGACCTGCCACCCCCACCCCACCATACAGTCTATTTAAATAACACTGGTGACTATTTTGTCTGTATTTCTTATTATCACCTTTGGAGACACCCCTGGAAGCAGAATTACAGGGCTGTAAGACAAGAATATATTGAGAAAACTGAGAGGAACTGGCTTAACTTACACTTCTACCCATGTTGTTTGAAAATGCCAGGATTATTGCACTTTTAACAGCACTGAGCATTAGCACTTAAAAATATCTTGGCCAGGCCCAGCCACTGTGACTTTGTTGGAGCATGGTCTGTAGACCAAAAAGTCACAGGTTCGATCCCCAGTCAGGCCACATATGAAAAGACAACCAATCAATGTTTCTCTTTCTCTCTCTGTCTCTTCCTTCCTCTCCACAAACAATGCAAAGTTGTCCTCAAGTGAGAATATATATAATCTTGGCCAGTTTGAGGTTAAATTGTATTACTCTTCAGAATGACTTTTTTTGTGGTTTTCTTTTTTAATGAATTACCTATTAATATGTTTGGCTCTAAATACTGTATAATGTTGTGTGAAGAAATATTCAATTGATTTGCTACAGGAGACTGTTTTATCATAAACTAGGGTGCATTTCTCTGGGCAGGGAAGGCCCTTTATGAAAAGTGTTCATTGTAGATGTCAACACTGCTGCCCTGCTCCTATGTCCTCGGTCACCTGGAAGTCACCAGCAGCTCTGGGGGACAGGCGATCAGGTACGGAGAGTATCCTACTTCACCTGTGCCTCACTGCTTGAGAGCACTGTGGCCGCGGGGGCATCAGGGGAGGCCGGAAGTGCAGGGAGCATCCCACACCAATGAGGCACAGAGACAGTCCCAGTGGCTCTCTCTGGGGGTCCCAACCTCATCGATGCTCCACGGAACGCTTTTCCTCCCGTCCCTATCAGACTTTCCCACTCGCTCAGAAGCGAGTTCTTTCTGGAACTACCTCCCAGAAATGCCATTTGCTTCCAAATCTTTGTCTCGGGATCTGTTTTTGCGGAACCCCTGAACCAAGACATCACGGAAAGCTCTTACTGAAAGTGTTGGCCGTGTTTTAACTTTTTCCCTTTGTTTGAAGATATTCTTTACCTCCTGGAATACATCAGAAAATGCATAACTGAATCCAGGAGAGATATTTGGTGACATAATTTGAAGAGAGTTGATGGGTCTTTAGACTTGGTGATGGGAGCAGAACCTCAAGGAGTCTAATGTTAAAAGAGAATGGTTTAAAAGCCTGTGAGAAGTCCAACAATAATATGCAAGACTTTTTCAGACAGAGCAGGTCCTCGAATTACATTGTTTCACTCAATGCTGTTTGTCATAATGCTGACGAGGGGAAAAAATGGGTCTCCAGCAGGGGCCACGGTCTGCGCGGAGGCCGCATGTCCTCCCCGGGCCTGTGCCTGTCCTCCCTGGGGACTCCAAGTTCCTCCCACGTCACAGAGATGCACGTGTGGGGTTCACTGGGGTTTCTAAACTGTCCCAGTCTGGGTGAGTGTGGGTGTGTGAGTGCACCCGGTGCTGGAAGAGCTTTTGGTGCAGGGTGGGCTCCCATCTGGTATCTGAGCTGCTGGGATAGGCTCCACCTACCCATGACCCTGAACTGGAATAAGCGGGTTGGAACACCATTATCTTACTTGTGTTTTTTGTTTGTTTGTTTTTAAATTTTATTTATTTTTAAAGATTTTTATTTACTTATCTTTAGAGGGGAAGGGAAGGAGAGGGAGAAGGGAAGGAGAGAGGGAGAGAAACATCAACGTATGGTTGCCTCTTGTGTGTCCCCTGCTGGGAACTGGCCTGCAGGGAACCGCCCTGCAACCCAGGCATGTGCCCTGACTGGGAATCGAACCCCGATTGCCTGGTTCGCAGGCCTGTGCTCAATCCACTGAGCTACACCAGCCAGGGCTATCTTGTTTTTATTCATCTTTCTTACATGTATGTAGAGCTCATATTTACTTTAATGATTAATATTAGATGTGGATTGAGTCTTCATTTAGAAGTTTGGTGATATTTGTTTTTTGTGACCAGAATTATGCCATAGGAACTTACCTCTTCGTTATATCAATTTTCTTAGGATATCGGTTTTAGGGTACATTGTTGCACTTAAAGTTGCAATTTCTAAGAACATATCAGGTGACTTTAAGTGAGGACTTACTGTACTTCTCTGACAACCGAAATCTGATTTATTAATTCTCTCTTTAAACACCTGGCCTGCAGCTGACAACACTGGCTCCTGTTACAAGCCCTGAGCACATTTCCTCCTTTAATTACACTTTTCAAACTCCCAGCTGCAGCTGTAAAGCTGCACATTAACTTTGAAAATACAAGACTTGAAGTCACAACCCCTGGGAGACAATGTACCTGCACTTTCGTCTTACGATAACTAGTGGATAAAAATGAAATTTGGAATTTATCTTTCAATTTTGGCTTCAGATTATTTGTTTACTTTGGTGAAAGTGGTGACCATTGAAAACTCTCCTGTTTCTCTTGCTACCCAACTGGTTTCTTTCTCCTTCTCTCACTCCTGGATCCTAAAGGCAGCTAGCTGACCCTAGGGGTCCACTCTCTGACTCCTACATTTCCCACCTACTTCAGTCCCCAGCTGATTTCATCCAGTTCCACGACTGGAAATCTCTATGCTAATGATCCCAAACCTACCAGAAGCCCCAGCCTCTCCCCCGAGTTCCAGACCGTACGCGCTCTGCACCTACCGACTCTGCATCTCCACCTGTGTGACTACTAGAGCTCTCCTACGAAACCTGTGCCAGCCCTGCCGGAGCAGCACTCCCCCCCCTCCGTTCATAAAAACTCCCTCCTACCAGTTGCTCATGTTGAACGCTCTGCAGTCATGCTTGATTCCTTTCTCTTACGCCCCACACTGAAATCATCGTCCATAAACACGGCCAGCTCTACTGTCGCAATGCCCAGAAATGAATCACTTTTCACTCCTTCCACCACCATGCCCCACCCACTGGCACATCTCACTCAGATTGTGTGCAAAGGCCTTCTAGCCGGTCTCCCTATTTATACCCACAGTCCTTTATACTTATCCACAGTCTAGTCCACAAACAGCAAGCAAAGTGGTCCTTTGATATTTAATTCCTATCCCATCAGTCCTCTGTTCAAAGTTCTGCAAGGTTTCTACCTCATTTAGAGTAAACTCCAGCCCTGGCCAAGGCCTATAAGGTCCTCTAAGACCTGTTCCTGGGTCCCACCCTCTTCTCCTCCTCTTCCTCTCTATTCCAGCCTCTCCTATCTCCTTAGTTTTCCTCAACCACGGCCTGTAGGAATCCCCCTCAGGGCCTTTGCCATGTAGCTCCTCCTTTTTGAAAGAATCTTGCATCCTCAAAACTCCCTTATTAGAGGGACTTCCCAAACCACCCTCAATAAAACAACCACCTGCTGCTCTGGACACTGTGTCCTCCGACCGCAGCTGGATTGCTCTCATAGCACATCACCACCTGACATATATTTATGTGCTCAACACGTTCATTGTTTGTCTTTTTCCCTAGACTGTCCAGGGGCAGCAGACCTCCAGGAAGGCTAGAACTATTAATCCTCACACTGCTCTGTCCTCGTGCCTGGAATAGTGCCTGTATCCAGTAAGCTCTCAATAAATACTTAAATGGATTAATGAATGATTTTAGTGATAAAATGTACACCATTTACTATAGGGAAAGGCTGTTGACTGAGAAGCAAGCAAAAGAAAAATACTGCTAATTTTACTGAGGTAAGAAAATAAATTAATTCATGTCACAGAAAATGAACAAAACAACTGATTCCCCAAAAGATAAACAGATACATGTGTACACACACACACACACACACACACACACACACACACACACCATGCCTATCAAAGGTCCCTTTTAGGATTTTCTGTAGATATCCTCACACTTACCCTATCGTAGCAAACTACAATGCTGTTAGCGGTCAGATTGAGAAATAAGCAGATGCGTTTTAAGGGAATACGTTAAAGTAATTAATGTACTACATGTAAATACAGTGTCAGCATAAGTAAGTAATTTTCCAGACTTACAACCCACCCCCCCCGGCTTGTTTTAGATGCTTACAGCCCACCCCCCAGCTTGTTTTAGGTGCTTACAGCCCACCCCCTGGCTTGTTTTAGGTGCTTACAGCCCACCCCCCGGCTTGTTTTAGGTGCTTACAGCCCCCCCCGGCTTGTTTTAGGTGCTTACAGCCCACCCCCCGGCTTGTTTTAGGTGCTTACAGCCCACCCCCCGGCTTGTTTTAGGTGCTTACAGCCCACCCCCCGGCTTGTTTTAGTGCTCCCAAACCGAATCCCAGCAGCAGGCATCTGTCTGTCGGTCTCACTCCTCACACACGCCGGGGCCCCCAAGAAACGGACTTGTCACCTCCTTCTATTTCCTGTCCTGCTGACACACGAGAGTCCAAGTACCTCCCTAAAATGAGATCACCCAGTGATTCCCAGATCAAACTAAAACTAAAGCAGAGGAAAGTTGTAGTTCGCTCTGATTTAAACATAGACACCTGCATTTGGTTTCAAGGATGCCTCAGAATTATCTGATTTACAAATAGAAAGCAGGTGAGCTAGGTAAAATAAGCTCCCCAAATCAAAAAAGAGTAGACAAAGTAGAGGAATGTGCTCTCCTCACAGAAATCAGAAGAAATTTGAAAAATACATGCTTAACTCTTTGGTATAAAGTATACTAGCCAAAAACATCCAAATAAAACATGAGGGGAAACCGTACTGAGAACTTTAACCTGAGCCCAGGCTGGTGTAGCTCAGTGGATTGAGCATGGGCTGTGAACCAGGGGGTCACCAGTTTGATTCCCAGTCAGGGCGCATGCTTGGGTTCAGGGCCAGGTCCCCAGCAGGGGGCCACACAAGGGGCAACCACACACTGATGTTCCTCTCCCTCTTTCTCCCTCCCTTCTCTTCTCTCTAAAAATTAATAAATAAATAGACCTTTACCAAAAAAATAACACTAATCTGAAATGATAAGATTAGCCCCAGCACTAACTGAGAGAGGTGTCTACTGAGGCCCTCTGTGATAACTACTGTGTAGAGCCAGAATTTCACTGTAAAACTCTACACTGAGACCACACACCCTCCCCCGGGGACACCTTTCAGGACAGACAAATGAAACTTGTGAAAGCCTGGTGACAGCTATCATCAGGCTTAATGAACAGGTCTACAGAACCAGAGACTTGTCGGAACACCTTTGGGAAAGTGTCCCCTGGAAGTCAGAAACGCAGCCTTCAAAAGGTGAAGAAGTGGCTTTGTATTAAATCAACAGGTTTACCTTCACTTTCACACTGGCTTTAACTCCGGCGGGTATTAAGGAAGGCATGTTCTTTCCATAAAAAATCTGGGACATCTCATGGAAGGCTTCAGAAAAGAATCTTAAGTCTGTAAGAACTTCAATCTTTAAAGGAGACAGAAAATTAAGATTTTAAATTAAACAACTTTTTACTTAAAAAAATAGAAATTTTAGAGAAAAACTGTCAACTTTAGAGATCCCAACTTTGCGCGTCGTGTCGGTGATGTGTTGCACATTAACGTTTGGTAAGCGTAGGTGGCGGAGACACACGTCTGCGTGGAAGACAGTTCCCATGTGCCATAGGCCTGGTGGTTAATAAACAGCAGCAGGAGACGGCTGAGAACGGCGGAGGGTTATCAGATGTGGCTGCTTCATTAGAGGCAAACGCATGAAATGTGATCGGCATGGAAGAGTTAAAATAATAACTGAATGCTGCACTGTGATTTAGAAGAAAAACAAAGCAAAAACACTCCTGATGCTCTCTGACACTCCGAGGGGAGTCAGACAAACCAGGAGAGGGACTCTGCCACCGAGACAACTATTCGTTTTCTTATCCATGATTAATGGGCACTGTCGATTTTAAAGACATATACTTAACATTAATTAATTGGTAACTATATATTGTGCGTGGCTTATTTTTAATATAATCCAGCAGAACTTTTCATCAGAAATTATGAGAAAAAAGTTCTTCATCAAACTCATTCATTCATACACTCATTGAACAGGTTTACTGAGCACCTCTTATGCATCAAGCCCTCTAGGAATTTACATTCCATCAGAATGTGTGTTTGGCTGAATTTGAGTGATGCATAAGGATCTACACAGTATGACAGGGGATTGAGGGTACTGACAAAATTGCTATTTTCAAAACTGTGGTCAGGCAGAACTTCTGAGGAAAATATCTTTAAGAGAAGATGTGGGAACGATGTAAGGGAGAGAGACACATGAAAATCTGCTGAGGGACCTCGAGCAGAAAGGTCACGGAGAGGCAGGGGCGGTGTGGGGGGCCTGGTGCCCTCCGACAGCAGCTGTGTAGTAGAAGCTCAGGGAGACACGGGATGAGCACTGGGAAACAGGGGACAACGGGGGCCTGCACACCAGCATGGAGATGTGGGGTTTTATTCTCTGGGTGATAAGAAGTTATAGGAGAGTTTGAACAGGGCAGGGCCCTAACCTGACTTATATTTTGGAAACATCTAGTGCTGTCCTAGAGAACAGAGAAAGATAAACTACAGAAGCAAAGAACAATATACAAAATTGGATAAAGATTACCAGAGTACACATATAATGGAAAAAGAAAATTCAATTTATTTTGACATGTATACCCATTTCTCTCTTTTCCTTTAAGCACAGTCTTCGGAATCTGAAAGGTGTATAAATTTTAAATAAATAAAAGGTAAGTTAGGGAAAATAAGATGCGTGACAATAACATGAAAATAAAACATAAAAAGTCAGGAGGGTATTTTTAATAGAGAAAATACTTCTTGTCTATTGAGTTGTATACTTTGGTTCTTGCCTAAGACACCTTGGGCTCTAACCTCCTGATGCCATAAAATACCCAAGCAGACTTTGGGGAGCCACAGGAGCTCCTTCAGACTTCTCGATGGGCTCTTCTCACTGCCCTCGGAGGAAACACCCCCTGGTGTCTGGGTGCCTGTGCTGTGCGTGGACTACCTGTAATGGTTAAGGCTACTTCTGGTTTCAGTTTATTGGGCCAATCAGACCACTTGAAAAATAAATAGTGATGGTAGTGGGCAGGTATTTTCAGAAATGGCCAACACTGTGAACACAAACAAACCAGAAGAGAGAAAAAAATCTACCCATAAATCAACCCTTCACTCACGCAGATACAGAACTAACGATACTCTTTCCAGGAATGTTAGCTATGTTAAGAGTAATAAATCTTTCAAGATGTTGGCACTTTTGAAGGGAAGCCAGACCAGCTGATCATTAAGTGGTCTTAAAGCTTTCCTTAAAAGACACCAGGGCACTCAGAAACTGAATGGCGTGATCTATTGCTCTCTGGCTTGTCAAAAAAGCAGCATCGTTAGCTATTTCCTGACTACGACTGTTCTCCCTTCCCACTCACTGACCCCAGTCTCTCCCAGAAAGGGTGGGCCGATTCTGCTCACATAGGCTGTCACTCCTTTCCTCTGTGCGACGCACTGGTTGCCACTCTTCACTGCTTCTGTTAAAACCCTAGTTGGGTTTCTCGGGCCAACTATGCCAGTAAGATCCCACTTCCACCTCACTCTGCTCCTGGTGCTGTTCCCGGATACATCTGACTACATCCTTCTCCTGCTCAAACTTCTATAATCGATTCCCCCTTCCAACCCACCACTACAGAATGGAGTCTGCACTTCTTCACTAGCTTTTGGGCTACTCTGTACAAAAACAGGTGTCAAGTGGCCTATCGAGTTAACAATCCAATAAAAAAACCAGTCACTTAACCAAATACTTTGTTCTTTCAGTGCCTTTTTCCATCTCCTTCTGAAATGTTACTAACAGTCATTGCAACCGTTCCATGCTTGCCTCTTATCACAGTCCAAATAAAACCATTAGCCCAATCTCCTCATTTCCCCCGTCGCATCACGCCTCAGTTTGGAACTAAAGACTGGCCCCTGGTTGTGTCCACATCATGGACCCCTGGTTCTCTCCTGTTATCTTCTGCTCCAACCACCCCACACAGAACCTCCCCTGGCTCAAAATGGCTCAAAGCCATTTTTCTTTCTTTCAAGCTCCTGGAGACAGCATTCCTCATACTCACTCGGAAATGATCAAGCAGAAGGTGCCCATGTTCCTGTTTTCTATATATGCTCTGTCTCTTTCTTATTTTTGTGTCCCTATAAGCAAGGACCATGGGGTTACATTTCTTTGATTAGAGTTACTAACATTTATTGAGTACCCCTTTTATACAAGGGGTACTCAATAAATGTTGTTTTAGAGGTAAAGCAATAAATATTTACCAAGTGTCTTCTAGGTGAGTTCCTGCCAAACGTCTAGGAGGGTGTGGACAGAGGCATTTGATAAATGTGTACAGATTTTAAATTCAATTCAGGAATTACTGAATATTAAGTATGTGAATTTATTACAAGACAGTATACAGGACTAAAAGATGAATAGATATAGACAGACCCTAGCATTCAGGAATTATGCAAGCTTGAAGACAGCACTGCTTTTTTTTTTAAGAGAGAGAAAAGTTGTATGTGTTTTTTTTTAAGTGTTATTGAAATTCAAAAGTGGAACTCTTAAGAGTTTGGTAACTCAGAAATGGTAATCCAGAAATGACCGTGGCTGGTAATGAATTATTTATTCACAAATTAAAACACATCATCTTAATAGTCAGCACTGACTTCCTCTTAGGGAAGGTACTTTATTTAGAAACAAAATGTGATGGACTATTTGGATCTGAAAACACTGGCTCAAGACCAGGGTCTGGATGTATGGAACAGTTTAAAGGGAATTCTAATTTCCTCTGCTTAAAAAACAGGGAAGATTTTGCCAGAAGTTTGTGGGAGCCCACTCACTCCCAGTTGTGAGAGCTGACGGTGCACATGGAGCCCCCATTCCACGGTCAGTAATGCCCACTTGGTAGGCTAACGTGGGTTCCAGGGAGAGCACTTACACTGTGGAAGTTTCAAATGCTATGAATCAGAACTCATGTTTCAGAGTGAGTTGTGAAACACACACCACCACACGGCTCGTTGAGCTACAGGAGGGGAGGCAAAGCGTGAGATGTTGGCCAAGAAATATTTTAGGCTCAAAGATGCCAAATATTTTATTTCATTTATTTATTTTTTAGCTTTTTTTCACTTCCACAAACGACTTTATTGATGTAAATGGTTTGTTTTTCCTCATCTTAAGATTTCCTGTGTCCCCAACGTTCAGTGAAGTCCAGTATGAAAACAAACACCGTGGGTAAGTGTGTTGTGGGTGTGAACGTGTGTGTCTCCGTGTGTAATATGGGACAGGGTTGTAATGTCCACATCAGAGATGAGGACATGCAGAACCAGGAGCAAATCTGCTGAGTCGTAAGATGACCAAGTACAACAAGTTCAACAAAAGTAGGAGCAACCACAGAGGATGGAGGAAGGGGCAGAGAAAACGAGGTGCTAGAGGTTCCCACTCCCCGTGGGGTTCAAGCCCACTGCACGGGAACCTTGAAGGCAGAGAACCTCAGCCGATTCCTGGGTTCCACAGTCAACTGTAAGTTAGTGCCTGTGTGTTCTGTCACTTCAACTTTCTGTGCAATTAACAGTGTGGCGAGTGCAAGGGGGAGGGAGTGGGTGGAGGTGGGAGCAGATATGGGGGGATAAAGGGTAATGGAAAAATACAATAAAAAGGTAAAAATAAAATAATCTTTTTTAGTTTTGAATTCTGGTATACCATAATATACATAAAGATCCTTAGGAAAAAAAATCCACAGAAACTGCAGCACATGGAATCATCAGTCTGCAGTCTTTCAGTGAACCAGTCTTTCAGAAGGGGCGACTCCCAGACTGACTGGTGTTGGGTGAACCTCATTACCAGTATAACTGATCCCCACTTTACTGAGGCCCAAGCATAAAATGATCTAAACCCATCTAACTGGCTTTTTCTCATGTTTCATTACAATGATAGGCAAACCTTTTTAATATCAATATACCCCACTATTAACAGCTTATTAGTATGAGTATTAGAACAAAATTAAGTCATGCCAATACCTTTAACAGTTCAAGAATATCGAATGTCTTAAAAATTTGGAACATACCTTGAGGATTCTTGCTTCTAGATTTCTGACCAGGTCTTGGCAAATTCCAGAAACAAAATATTGGTACAATGCAAGGAGAGGCAAAATCTACCAAGAGAAAAACATTTTATTTTAAAAAAATTTTATCAAGTTAATAACCTAATAATAAAATTTAGACAAATAATGTAGGAGACGTTACATAAAATGGTGATTTTTTTTTCCACGCTAGATGACACTGTTTGGAATGACTAAAATGGTCTGCTAGCGCACTCTTCATAATTTTATCAGGACTTTAAAGTGCTCTCAGGGACCTACAGTTCCAAGTAGATGCCACTTGGTACACAAACCTTAGGTCTCACATCTTTTTTAAAAAGGAAAAGTAAAAATGCAGTTAATTATCTTCCTTGAAAAACTAATTCAACATATAAATATAAATTACTGAAGTCGGTGAAAACATGCTAGCAAATGAGCCATCAGACACATATGAAATGGGAAGCACAGAAGGTCACGTCCACGTCCCCAGTAGCTCCTACTCACTCAGCACAACATCAGCTGCTGTTTGTCTTCAATTAGAATATCTCTATCAGAAAAATAATATCTCTATCATAATAAATAATGAGATGGCCAAAAAGTCTGTTTCATTTTATATGTAAAAGACACATTTTTCATTTTCACCAAGAACTTTATTGATTTGGACATTTTGAGTAGGTTGGCTATCTTCTACATGGTATAACTTTGATTGTTCTCTGTTAATGTCTCAGTTTGATCACTATCAACTTGAACTGGTCTACCCAACTGTGGAGCATCCTGCACCAAGAAATCTCCAGCACGAAACTTTGCAAACCACTTTAGATACATTTGACCAGTCACAGCATCTTCTCCACACACTGTATAATTTTTTTGTGCATTTCAGTTGCATTTTTACCTTTCTTGAAATAATAAAGCATAATATGCTGAAAATGTTACATATTTTCTTCCATTTTCAATAGTAAAATGGCTACACAAAAGTTCACCAATTTTGATTTTTTTTAAATGCACGTTGACATGACAGCTGTCACAATATAACGTAACAAAATTGTTTCAAATGAAGTTAAAGACAACTAAGAGCTACTAAAGCCATCATATGGGAAAAAAACTGACTGAACTTTTGGGCCAACCCAATATTTATAACATGCCTAATATGTGTCAGGTACTGTTGAGTAAGAAAGAAAGAAAAAAACACCTAAAAAGTCACTGCCTTCACAGAGCACAGAGTCTGCTCATTAAAACCCAAGCTTACTCCTCACTTAATAGTTTCATTTCCCTAGAATTAACCCCCAAGTTCAACTCTTCCTGAAATCTCACACACATAAGTGACGGCCTACAGACTATCAATATTTCAAGTGACCCAGCCACTCGCTATGAGGCCAGAGACAGGTGTGGAGGGGATAGTTTTGCCTAGGCTTTAGAACAGCTCCTCCTGATCTCAACTCAAAACTGAAGCTCACGGTCCCTACAGCTGGGTCCCGCCCCAATAAAGGGAGATGGATCAAGGAGGGCTGAGATTACCATTAACTAGCAGACTACTTCCCATGATTCCACAGCGGTGGGGCCCAGAGCAAATTTTATATGTGGCAGCAGCTTCCTTAGCTACTGGGGTTTTTCTGGACAGCAGTATAGTATGAAATACATTGTTTATATCCTGCAAGTTCAGCTAAGAAGACTCTGTCAGCCAATTGGCAGCTGCTGATAGCAACAGTTTTAAAAAGGATTAGAACTGATCATAAATGTTTCAAACATTATGCATTTTCTACAATTATGCACTACAAATGTAACAGAATACCTTTTTTTCTACAGTTAATGCAGCATGAAACAATGAGTTGGCTATTACCTTTGAGATGTTCTTTTGTTTAGTGAGAAATAAAAACACCAGTTTATTGCTGCCAATTGCTCAATTATTCAGAAAAATGTTCTCAATTTCTTAAGCTTCAGAGGAAAAAAGTCTCATTTCTTGTCCAGTGCAGTCGTATGTATTATATATGAATATGACTAGGCAGCTAAAGGTTGCCCAGGGGATAGAACTATTTTCTTTTTTTTATTTTCTAAATCCAGAAATGAATCCCCTTAACTATGAAAGGAGCACCATTTTGTTATTTTTTTGATAAACAATTTCTTGCCAAATCTGCCAAGTGTTAAAAGCATTTATCACTACACTTTAACACATGGTTTTATAATTTAACAACTCATATCAGGAAGAAATAAATTTTTTCAATATAAGGAGAGAGAGTGAATTTAGCACAAAAGAATAGAAAAGAATACATAAGAAAAGAAAGTAGGTATGAAAATTATGTAGGGGAAGAAGCAGAGAGACAGAACAGATACTAAGAAAGAAACAGGGAAATAAGAGATATGAAAGCAGGGAAACACCATATGGGAGGAAAATATAAAATGACCAAAAGTTAGATTGCATTTTTGTTTTAAAAAATGCAATCGACTTCAAATTTATGATACATATATTGTAGTTCATTTACACAAGTGGAAAAAAAGAGCTGTACTGGAATTTTTTAATTTCCTGGGATATTAAGAAGTGTCTGTCTTCTACTTAGGATGAAACAGAGAAAAGAGGAGATGCAAAGATAAATTTTTTCAATCAACATTCTCATAGTTTTGTTATTGATAGGACCTGCAAGACAATTCAGAGAGTGACATGTGCACCAGATTCCTCTGTTTGAGGCCAGTAAAACATTCTAATGAATTTCACCAAACGTCTTAAGAGAAAAAGGTAAAATAGAGTAAAAAGAGGACCAAATCAAATAGACATTGTTTTGGATCCAAAATGCAATGTAAACAATGATATCAGCTCTGGCTGATGTGGCTCAGTGGATTAAGTGCTGGTCTGCAAACCAAAGAGTTGCTGGTTCGATTCCCAGACAGGGCACATGCCTGGGTTGCAGGCCAGGTCCCCAGTAGGGAGCATTCGAGAGGCAACCACACATTAATGTTTATCTCCCTCTCTTTCTCTAAAAATAAACACATAAAATCTTTTTAAAAAACAATGATATCAAAAAACCTTAATATATTTTCATTTTGAAGTACAGGTAAGAATCTTGAATATAGAGTTCAAAGTTAAACAAGAACTGCCAAAACATGAACCACTTTTGAAAAGTATAAAGTGGGGCAAATATAAATACCACAGTGAATTAAGATTCACTGATTTTACCAATTACTTACTATTATATTTTGCTTAGCAAAGTGCAGTTCACGTATAACATAATACAAACTTGCAACCACAGAGCAAATATCGGCCCTGTGTACATCCGAGAATAGCTCGATGCCTGGGAGAAGCTGGGTGATTTCATACTGAGCATAGCAACGTTCGGCTTTGGGGTGTGGAAGCGTGGTTCTAAGCAAACCCTGAAAATGAAAAAAGGTGAAACGAAGAGCTGTGTACTGCATTTGCTATAATGACAGAGAAAGGTAAGTACATGTAGTACCTCCTACAGTGCTTAGCACACACCTAGCAAACTCTACCCTGTAATAAACAGTACTTATCATTGTCATAGGTTCCGAATGTTCTTATCATTCAAGAGGTGCCTTTTAAATTCCACGGTAGTTGAATAATTATTTTCAGAAGAAATTATCATTATATTAAGTTACCTGTTGAGGGTTAATTTTGTGTTGGATACTACTGGTAACCTGTTTGGTAAGTCCTATCTCATTTAATCCTCATTTAACTGACCCATATGAGGATTATTATCTCACCAATGATATAAATGAGGTTTAAACAACTTATCTGAGGTCGCACAGCCAATGGGGGCAGAGAGACAATACAAAGGTCATGTATCTATTTAGCTAAAAAAATTTATGTTTTTCCATTTTATCAACCTGTAAGTAGAGGAGATAACAACTTACTTCAGAAGTATAAATCAAGGAGAGGTAATTCTGAATCTTAAGTGAATTAACTGAAAAGGTGATTATTTTAATTTGACTAAGATTTCTTAAGTAATTTATATGACCATCATTGCACTAGATGTTGGGAAACAAGATGAATACACAAAAATCAAACTTTACATTTAGAAGAGCTTCATACGCTATCTTAAAAAATTAAAATTCCTTGATGATAAATGCATTTAAAAATATTTTAGTGTTTTGTTGTTTAGGTTCCTGTTAAAGGTGAGATCATATGGTATTTGTCTTTCAAACAAACAAGCAAAATATATCCAAAGACACTGAAACAGAAAACAGGCTGACAGTGACCAGAGGGGAGGAAATTCTGGGGGAATTCCAGGGAAAAAGGGGAAGAGTTTATAGGAACAAATATAAAGGACATATGGACAAAAACTAGGGGGGATGGAAATGGGAGGGAGGTGGGGAGGTGTGGGTGGGTGGGCTGGGATGGGAGTGAAAAACAGAAAATGGTACTTGACCAACAAGTAAAATGAAATTAAAAATAAATAAATAAAATAAAATTATTTTAAGGTGACATCAGAAAGAACTGTATCAGGTTGCTCACTAAAGTTATAAGGTACCTTACTCTAAAATGCTAGGCAGTTGTTTAAATTTTTCATTTTACAAATTTGCTTTAAAATCATAAAAAGAATTGACAGTTTTTAAAATTAAATTGCACCACCTAACTTTTATTTTAGGTGTAGAATTACTAAGAAACTATGTCCACATTAGGCAAAAAGTGATATACATTTTTAAGTTACAGGTGACCCTTGAACAACATGGGCTTGAACTAGGCAGGTCCCCTTACACACAGATTTTTTTCATTAATACCTTTGTTGTTTTTGATCTGCAGTTGGGAGTCTGCAGATGCAGAGGGCTGACTAGGGGCATTGATTTCTGCCATTTTAATAGTGAACTTGCCCATCCATAGATTTTACTATCTGTGGGGGATCTCGGAAACAATCACCCATGGATCCTGAGGGGCAACCAAGTTTTGGGGAAGTGAAAAATTACATGTACATTCTCAACTGTGTGGGGGTCAGCATGCCCTCAACCCTCTTGCTGTTCAAGGGTCAACTGTACCTATTTTCTAAAACATAATCTGCCTTATTTTCAAGAACAAGGAGTGCAGTATGTGAAGGATGCAATATGCAGAGTCAGAATCGGATTATCGTTCACTTTACGCCCTTGCCTCTTCCCTTTGAAGTTCAGGCAAGAGGTGAATGGAATATAAGAAAAATGAAAAGTCTGGCCTTATATTCAGAGAACCATTTCCCAAAGATCTTATCTACCCAGATTTCCTAAGATATCAGACCCTTCTCACACACAGAACGAGGGTGCCCATACTTCAAAGCAAACAGAACCTTTAGTACATTGCCAAGCCCCTGCTGAGATTCCTGAATCGAAAAAATGTCTTGTATTTCTGATAAAAGCTCCTTTATTCCTCAGTAAAGTCAAACCCAAATCCTAAGAGTCTACATATTTCTGTAGTCTTCAAACTGTTTCTTGTTTTCACTCCATAGTATACTTTGTATCATGCAATTGAGCAAAACTTTATTCAGAGATGAGGTAACCTAAGGGACCCACCCGTGGGACAGACTGATTTCACTGCTCATTAGCAACGTGACCTTACTAACAATAGATGACTCAGTTTCCTGATCTGTAAAACTCCTTTTGTTTTGTCAAGGAGAAAGCTGCCCCTGCTGGATACTAAAGGTGACAGTGCCACATGGGTTCCGCCAGAGAAGGAAAGATGGGCTTCTGACATCTCATTGATGTTCATGCTATTTTCCTACCTGTATGGTTTATAAATGTGATAAATACTGCACTTTACTGGCTGACTGGTCGTGCTCCTGCAGAAGGACAAATATGAAGTCTTACCTGAAAGAGTAATGCAGACAAAATGCAACAGTTGGATCTCTTGGCAACGTCCAACTCCTTAATGAATCTAAGTAAGTATAAGAAAAAAATGGATTCCTAGACAATTTTTCAAAAGTGTTTTTATATAAACACATCTCTAATACTCACAGACTTTCCAAAATTAAAGTATTCTTTGTTATTCTAAAAGTGCTACATACTCATATAAGATCTGGAACAATGAGAAATGTTAAAAATAAAACAATAGCCATAACCCTACCGCCTAAACATGTTTAGTAGTAACCTTCTGGCTGATTTCCTTCTAGACTTTTTCCTAGTTATACACACACACATTAAGACTAGAATTATGCAATACATATTACCTTATAAACAGCTGTTCCATTTGGGATATAATGAATTACATCATTACTTTATAGAACTTAAATATTTTCATCATGTGAATATACCATAATATAAAAGTATTTAGCACCATTTTATTTTTCCAATGCTGAGGTGAGCACGGTTGTATCCACACTTTTGAGCACTTGTCCTATTAGTTCTACTGCATAAATCCTTAGAGGTGGAATTTGGGGGGGAAAGGAGGTGCACAGTTTTAAATAGTTAAAGAGTATGGTTAAATAACTCCCCCTCCAAAGATTAAAACACTGCGTTTTCTAAGTATATTATGGACACATTGATGCTGTTAAGTCTCTCCACCAAAGATAATGCAATGTCTCTGAATTTACTGTCTGATTTTAAGTCTGTTAGAAGACTTTGAGTTCCTTTTCATGTGGGTCTTGAAATTCACCTCTAAAGCTATAAACCAGATTACCTTCTTCTCAATCGTATTTAGATAAAACCAGTTGGCTTAACTATGTTAACTACATTAATTAATTGTCAATCTGAGTCCAGCCTCTCTATGTGAGTATTCAAGTGTGGTGTTTTGCCCTTCTGAACAGTGGGGAGACGAGGTTCTTCCACTCAGGGAATCTCTGAGAACTGCCAAGCTCCCTGTGGTATCGCATATCCTGTGGAAGTCAGACTTCCAGAGGGATAACTGGGAAATGACTTCCTGTTGGCTGAAGACCAGCAGATAACAGCCTGGGAGGCTGGGGGCAGCCGAGGGGCCCAACGGCAGGAAGGCTGCAGCAGTTCTTTCTCAAGCTGTGAATCTGTCTCAGCTTTCCCCTTCTGTGCTGCGGGGCTCTGCTAAGTCACAGCCCAGGCTTGTGTGGGACTGTGTGTGCATGTGTGTCCCCCTGGAGGGCGAGACAATGAAACGTGACTAACTTAAAAAAAATTTACTGTTTGATACTTACAAACTAAGTAATTTCTTACTTCCCTTGCCCAAGGATGCTAATTTTCTGGAAACAATGTGATTATTAACTAATTATTTTTTTAAAAATTGCTCTCTAGCTCACATACCATGCAGGTTTTTGCCAACCACATCACACCCCAGGTAGGCTATAAATATACCAATCGGGAGGCGAAGGAAGCCTGTCCCTCCACCCCTCCACACTTCGTATTTTTAAACATGGAACACAACCAGAATCTGTGCGATCCTCATACAGGCCACGCTGATCCGCTCTGTGCCGTTCCAATTTTAGCCTAAGTGCTGCCGCAGCGGGCACTGCCCGCCTCCCATCCTTTCGAAATCTCTCACATTAATCAAACACTTAAGATATCTGTGAGTGTTGTCGAGGTGTAGGCACTGTGTGCGACAAACTCTCACACAGGTTCTGCGTGACAGGCTGAATAACGGGCCCCACCACCTCGGACGTCCACATCCTAATTCCCAAAACCTATGAGCATGTTACCATACACGACAAAAATAATTTCAAAAGACTTTGCCAATGTGATTAAATTACGGACCATGAGATAGTTATCCTGGATTATTTAAATTCGTTCCATGTAATGGCAGTGGTTCTTAGAAGAGAAAGGCAGGAAGGTAAAAGAGGAGATCTGAGGTTGGGAACAGAGGTGAGAGAGAGAGAGAGACTGACTGGAAGGTAGGAGCCTGTGGGTCCTGAAGACAGCACAGGAGCACGGGCCAAGGAATGCCGGCGGCCTCGAGAAGCTAGAAAAGACAAGGAAACAGATTCTCCCGTAGAGCCTCTAGCAGGACCACAGACCTGCCAACGCACTGATTTTAGGGCTTCAGACCTCCCTGGGTGTAAGATAATAAACCTGTGTTGTTTTAAGCAGCAGTGGGAAATTAACACCTTATGTGTTATGGACTAAGTTACATGCCCTTCCCCACATCCATTTCATATTAAAGTCCTAACCCCCGGTACCAGAAGAGATAAGTACACAGACACATGGAGGAAGACAACCACCCAGAGAGGTGAGGAGAGAGACCTTGGAGGACACCAACGGCCAACACCTTGAACTCAGACTTTTAGCCTCTAGCATTGTGAGAAACACGTTTCTATTGTCCCTGCCACGCAGTCTGTGGCCATTTGCCCTGGCAAACTACTGCAGTGTGTCACATGGCTCTCACCACCAAGGTCTAAAGATGAGGACACTGAGGCTCAGAGAAGATGAGCAACTTACTAAGGATCACAGAGCACACAGGAAGCTCTTAAATCAGACCCAGTGGGCCTGCCTCCACACTGCCATTCTTGCTCCCATGTCAAATGTGCACTCACTCACTCATTCATTCATTCATTCATTCATTCCTTCAACACGTAGTCACTTAATGCCAACTCCATGCAAGGCTCTCAGGATATATCCAAGCAAAGCAAAGGCCTGTGTGGGAGGTATTGTGGGGAGAGGAGAGCGCCATAAACAATGAGCATCACAAGTAAGTAGATGTTATGAGCCTCTGTGTTGTGGACATAGGTGCAAGAACCCAGTGTGTGTGAGGCACGGCTCTCCATGTGGCACAGCGGGCACCCTACAAAGGGAAGCTATTATCTATCGTGTAGGTCCTTCCAACGTCACACTCACTGGGCGATCTTTGCTGATATGACCGCTCCTTGCAAACAGCCCCAAATGCCGACTCTGGACAGAAAGTCCTCACTGTAGTCCTTGTAACCTGGAGGTGAAGAGCCATCGGTGGCACTGGTGAGCGAGGTGCCAAACTCTTTCCACGTATGCAGCACATCTTCTTTCCCGAATATGTCATCAAGCGCTTGACACCAACACTTAAAAGCAGCCCTAGAACAGAAACACAGCTTCGAGCCATCCATTCTCTGAGACCTATGTCATCAGATCTTTCCAAAAGGGAAAGCGAATGCACTGAAGAAATAGTTTAATTAAAATCTATATCACTCGCGTATTATGTATGTGTAACCATTTCTCTCAGGTAGCATTTGATGAATAATAGCAATGTAATATTATTGAAGAAGTAGAAATGATAAAAGATAACATTTTTCACAGTAATTCAAAAAATTTTTTCAAACAAAGCTTTCCCTCCTTTGGTAGACTCCTAAAAAATTCTACCTTTTCTTTCCTGCGAAGATAAGAAGACTTCCAAGTTGATGCAATGCCTGAACTTTAAGACTTCTTTGATTGCTGGCTTGGAGAACATCTGTATTTTAATCAAGTAAAAGAACAAATATCAGTTCCTGAAAAATATTTCCTCTATATTTGCAAAAATATTTTAAGCTGCATCATTCCTGAACTGTGTACATAAGCAAACCGCAAGCTACTAGTGCCTGCGAATGCTGCATGTGATATGCACAGAAAGACAGTGAACACCGTTCTGTTTGAACATGGTGGAGTGGGAGACCGGGCCCAACCAGAGGCACAGAGTGTGGAGAAAGTGAAATAAGAGTCAGGTCGGTAGAAATGGCTGAGAAGAGAAGCTCAGCAAAGGCACACTAGGTAGACAGGGATGGGTCTGTCCGGCAGAGCCGTGTGGCTGCAGCATGGTTTTCTGGGAGGGTGAGGAAGGAGGCAGTAGTTACACCAGAGGCAATTGGATGGCCTGTGGCAAAACGTGGTCGTTACTCGATAGCGCGTGGGAAGCTTTGAAGGCTCTGTTTCTGAGTGGGGATGTGACAAGATTATAGCATATCGGATGCTTCCTTTTACTCAAATGCGAAAACAAAACCCAAACAAATCTTTCACATCACCTGAATTGGGAGGCGGGGGGAGGTTCAGGGCTTCTCACAAATGCACGCATTAAAGGACATGTAGCCATTCAAGGACTCTAAAATACCCAATCTACACGGCAGTAACTTCTAATGACATCTATTCTGTCCCCTAGAGGTATTTTAGAGTCTTAGGAAGGGTTTTGCTAGTTGTCACAATGGGGCACCTGGTGCTTTATACGTGAAGACCGGAGACAGTGGGTGCTCTCCCCCCCCACCCTCGCCACCCCATGAAGGAAGAGGTGAGAAATCTGTTTACACATTTTATACATAATAAGGGCATATTTGCGTGTTTTCAAAATGTTCTGAATTTGTCAAAAATGCAACCACACTCTTTTTGTTCAAAAGTTTACCTACATTTACTTGCTATTTTAGAAAATTATGCCACCAAAAGTGGCAGTGCTGATGCTACGTGTCACCAGCACAAGCACAAAGCCGAGCTGCACCCGCAGCTGCGACAGGCGTGGCTGTCCCACAGGCTTCGATGGCCTGCGGCCCCTTGAGCCTTAGCACACCAACAGCAGAGTCTTTTATTATGAAGTGACTGATTTGTCCCATGTTTTATGTTTACAGCTTCACACTGAGTTGGGGGGGAAATAATACGTGTAGAAGGAATCTATCAAATATTGTATTCCAGAGAGTAAAGGGGGATTACACAATGTCTGGTATAGAAAAGGAACGCACTGGGGCCACATGGGCTGAGTGCGTTCTGCTGTGTAAAAGCAAGTGGAAGGGCAAAGAAAATGAAAACGGCCGGAGCAGAGCAAAGCAAGCAAGGCGGCCACATCCTGACGGGCAGTTCACAGGTTCAGTCAAAGGGACATGGGTGGAGGATGAATGGCCCAGGACCTCAAGGTGGGACAGGCAGGCCGGGGGGATGGGGCCGGGGCAGTGCTGGGAGCATCTTGTCTCAACACTGCTCTGCCAGTGCCTGCAAGGGCATGAGGAATAGATTCTATTTCAGGCTCTTTCATCCTGCTTTTAGAAACAGCACTTCAGGACCGAATGCAATCTCCAACATCCACGCAGATGATCACCGTGAAAACAAACACATAATGGATAAATCTTACCAATAGTTTTGTAAAACGAAGAAATTACGAGTCCGAGTTGTGAAGAGGGCAGTTTGCTTTTCTCCACGGAACTAAAAACTCTGAAGTGTTCCTGAGAGAGGTCGGGAGGGGCTGGCATGTGCATCTCCTCTGTCCCCAGGCAAAACTCCACCTTTCCAGGGGCCAGTCTTGAAATGTTTATTCCTCCTTTGCCTCCTATTCATGAGAAAATAACAAAGAAATTTAAAATGGAAAAAAGAGGGAAGTTGATGGTGAAGAAAAAGGTAGTAGAAATGGGAAGGGAGAGGGGCGGGTGGGCTCTGTACGCATGTCACAGTCTGCCCGAACGGCAATGTTGAGATGACGCATTGCTACTCCTGGGGTTTGGTGGCAGTTACAGCAACTGGGTTTACCCTTCTTAAAGGGCTTCCAAGAGGAAGATGGTACGTTGCCTCTGGGGCAGAAAAGTCTGCCCCACACAGGTAACTCTGACCTGAGGGGGGAGGGAATGGGAAAGTGCTGTCTCTTTGTAAGATCAGAGAGCACACAGAAAAAAAGGGGTAAATATTCTAGGGGGGAGCAGTCAAAAGCTGAAGAGAGACAGAAGGACTGGGATAAACTGCTGGGAATACTCTGGCGTATGTGTGACATGACATTGAGTTGCTCAACTCCTGGTGACCCCGTGGCATGAGTGATGCCCACGGTGTCCTGTCCTCAGTAACTCGGCTTGGCTCCTGTAGACTCATGGCGTCTTTTACGAAGTCAGTCTGTTTCATATCAGGTCTCCTCTTTTCCTTGTCTTCTGTCCCAGCATTATTGTCTTTTCCAAAGAACCTGTCCTGCTCAGAATGTGCTCAAAGTAGAACACCATTTTTTTTTTGTACCTCCAGCAATGATTCAGACTTACTGTACCTTGGGGCCCTCTTGTCTGTCTTCCTGGGGTCCAGGGTATCCATGGAACTCCCCCAAACCTATGTTCCAAGTGAGTATTTGATTCATATTTCAATATCTCAAATGAGTATTTTGATACCAAGTGTGATTCAGAGTGAGTGGATGTAAACCATTCTTAGGAATCTCATTTCCTTTACTCATTCCCTTTTCTCATTCATGCCCTTACTCATTGCCAATGTATGCCACGACGAAAGGGACTTCAAACATCATCCGGAGACCTCGTTGAATGTAATGAGTCTGTGGGCAATTTAACCAAAAACTGTGGCTGCACATCTTAACTTGTTGCAGGGGCAGCACCAACAAAAACATACACCCATGTATACGCATATACAAACATAAATAAAACTTCGGTCAGTGGTTGCAAAAAAATATTGGTCGGGTTTCTAAAAGATCAGTTCAGTGGATATTAGCATCTTAAATATAAGTTTAAATCTATTTTTAATGACTTGAAAATATAATTATTGAATATTTTAAGTTTGTTCTTTATTTTTTAGTATGCGAATGAATTTGAACACCAAGAATCATAAACATAAATTAGGATTTAAAAAAATTTAAATAACCTAAACATAGACAAATTTGACTACATTCTTCTCTGAGGTCATGACTTTGTCACTCAAAGCCCCGTTTTCACTGTGTTCACAGATCGATAGATGCTGAGGAGGGAGAAATACAAAAACGGTAGTGTAACCAATGAGAGTGAATGAACACCTTGTGTTAAGCTAAGAAAATCTCTTAAGATAAAAACCTATGTTATTAACCAGAAATCTTATTGATGCTTATATGAAAACACATCCATTTCTTTGACATTGATAAAGTAGTGTTCTGGTAAAAGGTTCTAGTTAATTCAGTATGAATCGATTCATCTACTTATGAAAATTAAACAAGACTAGCACCATAACTACAGAGAAAATAGTAAGAACATAGATGTGCAGAGTCAAAAAATTAACAAGTATTATTTTCATATCTACTCTATGCAGGGAGTATGGCAGTTTCACAGAAGACAGAGAAGCCCATGAGTGAGACGGAGCAGGCCAGTCAGAGGGGAAAGGATATGGCAGGAGTGGCAAGTCCGCAGGGTGGCACCCCCCCTCCCCCAATAAGGACTCAGGCTTGCAGAGCAAGTAGTTTTACCTTGTGTCTGTGCAAGAAATAATGAAAGCAACTTTCTGCTGTGGCGGATTGCTCTGTTGTGATATTTGGATTTTTCCAAAGTCTCTCTAAAACATCTCAAAGTGTCTGTCACATCCACGGGCACACAGATGAGCTCTCTGGCCTGGCTGTACTCTGAAAGGTAAGGGGAGAGTAAGGTGGGGGAGGAGATGCTGCAGCGAGCCAACTAGTAGCAAAAAAATTCTAATTCAGAGAATTTCTTCTTGCAAACTAAAGCTGCTAAATTCAAAGCCCCCAGGTATGAAGCAGGTATTTCAACACTCAGATCATTTTTTGGTGTATTTGGAAGTTCTTTTTTTAAATTAAAAAAAAAAAGAAAACTTAGAAAACTTTCGGTTCTTATGAAATGCAAAAAAAAAAAAAAAACTTTAGATCTTGCCAATTTTCCTTATGAAGCCTCCTACTTTATTCTTGCTGAACATAAAAGATAAAATAATTTCCTCCTTTTCAGCAGCCTCTTCAAAGCAGGGGTGCCTTGGGAAAGAGAAGAAAGGAGGAAGCGGGAAAAAAAGCCTGAAGATGGGCAACCTCTCTCTTAAGAGAAAGAAAAGATGATTTCTAATACTGGAGGGTGCAGAGGAAAGGAAGATGGTGCCGTGAGTATGAAACTAACAAACAGTCCTGGACCAATGGCCGAAGAAGAGAGTTGCTGCAAGGTCTCTGGAGAGGAAGGGACCATCCAAGTATTAGGCTGCATATTTGCAGCTTACGGCATGAAGCAGGCACACAAAAACAAGAAGTACAGGCTCCAGATGGAGTAATGAAAGAATTGAATATCCTTCTTCGACAAGTTGAACAGGTTGAATACCTCCTGTGAAACCTGAGATCTTGACAGTACAGTATCATCCAGGGAACGGAGCTCCAAGAGGTTAAGAGGCAAGACCTTTGCCCTTAATGTTGACAGTCTAGCAGAAGAGATGCAGCATTCTGCCACCAGCATGTTCAAGTCATCTGCGCAGAGGGTGCTTAATGCTAACAGGAGGAAAAGATACAGAGGTCGGGGCATGGAGGAAAGGATGAACTAGAAAGACCTTCTGGGAGAGGAAGCATTCCAGCTGTGTCTTAAGGGATAGGGAAGATTTGATTAAGAAGAGAAAGGCAAGAGGTTTTAGATTATTAGAATAAGAATAGCTGACGTTGACTGAGTGGAGCGCTTACACTATCTCAGGGACTATTATAAATAAATTAGTCTAAGAAGCAACTGTAAGGGCGGGTACCAGTTATACCCTCACTTTGCCATGAGGAAAAGAAGGCGTAGAGAGGTCTGATAGCTTCCCTCAGCCACAGAGCTAGTTTGTGCAAGAAGTCCAGCAGCAGCAGGGAGGGTGGCAACCGGGGCACAGTGAGATGACACGGCAGGTCCTGCTGAACTAAGAAGGCTCAGTCGGCCAAGGGCTGAGGCTCTGGCTGATAAGTAGTCTTCCTCCTCTTTCATGGGTTGCTGACCAAGGGTTTTGAGCAGGACTGACAGAAAGAAAGTGGTGATTTAGGAAGGGCTGGCCAACAGCTGTAAGCATGGCTAACAGAAGGAGGTTGGTGGCTGAGCGACTGACAACATTGCGTCATTTGATCCGGACTAAGATAGTACAATGGAAACAAGGGAGGGACACTGGGAAGTTTCCGTTGTTGAAACAACAGGAGAATGGTTAATTAGCTATGTGGGGAAAAAAAGAAAAGGGGGTGGGAATTAGCTATTCCCTGTTCTTTCAAGGCCAAAGACCTTGCTTCCTACTTCACTTGAAAAAAACTGAAGCAATCTGAAGGGCTTTCCCATAAGCCCCCACCAGTGTACCCGCCCAGCCCCCAGTGCCCATGCCCAACTGCACCTCAAGGGCATCATGCCAGCAGTTCTCCTTCGTCTGAATCAACAGTTTTCCCCCCTTACCGAATCTTTCCCAGCAGCACATTTTTCTATTTTTCCCTAATTCTTTAAAACATTAAAAAATTTTACATTCACGGCAGCATTATTCACAATGGACAAGACAGAGAAACAACTGAAATGTCCACCAGCAAATGAATGGAGAAAGAAAACGTGATGCATGTAAACAGCAAGATCAAAAGGAAAGAAATCCTGCCATCTGTGACCACATGGATGGACCTTGAGGGCCTTTTGCTAAGTGACGTAAGTCAGACAAGGAAAGGCAAATACTGTATCACCTCACATGTGGAATCTCAATAAACCAAAAGCAATGAGACAAGACACAGAACAGATTGGTGGTTGCCAGAGGTGAGGTAGGGATGGGCAAAATGGGTGAAGAGGGTCAAGGGGTAACACTTTCAGTTATAAGATAAATAAGTTCTGGGCTGCAATGTACAGCATGGTGATGATGTTTAAATTTCTTTTTAAAAAGAAAAAAATAATTGAAAAATATAGAAAACCTTTCTCTTGACCCTACTTTCCTCTCAAGGTACCATTTTATATCTCTACTCCATTTTATTACAAAACTCCTCCAAAAATTCTGTCTTCATTGTTTCCCATTCTCTCTTGAACCCACTGAAAAATCACATTCCCTCAGCCAACATCATTCCACCCCCAGCATCTTCATGTGGCTAAATGTGATGCTCAACGTTCAGACTTTACCTCACTGCAATTTTCAGCAGCACTAGGCTCAGTTAATAATTCTGTCCCCTCAAATACTTCCTTCATTTGGTGCCACGTCCACTGCCGCGTCCACTGTTGGATCCCTCTCTCCGTGACAAGGTCCTGAGAGGGGGTGTAAGACTTCAAGGAAGCAGTTTCCAACCTGGTGGACGTGGCATGGAAGGCCTTGCAATACCTATTGTGATTGTGCTTGCTTTAGAGATCATGACCCTTTTGCTTTAATCATTATGAATACCCTGGCAGTGATTCAGATAGTGTGCCTGGACCTTTCCCGGCTCAATAAACAGAACAATAATATCATACTAGAACGTCAGGGAATATAGGCACAAGGATACAATCAGAACAATCTGAGAATTCAAGCTTAATCAATAACAATCATTAGAAAAACACCCAAGATAAGATAGAATACTCTAGGAAATCAGGAGATGATCTCACTACTTTCTTAGAAGGATTTAAAGTACAAAACATGTTTATAAAAAGAACTCCTAGAGAAACTTAAAAGAAGTATCCTTGAAAGCCCCCTGCTACATAGGAACAGCCCCTCCTTTACCTTGAATAAGAATATATATCAACTAGACAGGCAAAGAAATAAAAGCTAGTTAGTTATTACAAACTAAACAGTCACTAGGGAGTCAGAATTTATAGTACACAGAAAAAAACATTTTAAGCAAAAAAGGTAGATAGCTAAGTTAGACATCACGAGGGCTTTATAATAAATCTCCTATTTTCTCTACTCAGTCTAGCGTATCCTTATACCCTATACCAAATTCTGAGAAACTTTGGTATACAATAAGATATTTTTAACTGTCTGATTAATGGCTCTCCTAGTTAAAATAATTTTTAACTGAATCTATAAGAACTTTTGTACTTTTACTGATTGCCTTTGTGTTGATTTTTTCTGCTTAAATGATCATGTTATACTGCAAATATTAATCACTACCTGAAATGAAAACTATAAAAACCTGCGTGTACTTTCAATAAACGGAACAGAGCTTCACTGTCCTTTGAGGCGTGTTGTCGTCTGTTACCCAGCGCCGACGCCTTGCCCTCACCTGTGGGACCCCCTGACCCGCTGCGGCTGGACCGCGGCAATTTGGCTTATAGGTCCTTTTCCAGCTTCAATGGCCACTCCTCAGTCCTCTTTACTATGTGTCCTCATCAACCAACCTCTCAATCCCAGGAAAACTCAGGGCTCTAATCTTAGACAGCCTCTCTTTTCTTAATTTATACTCACCCCCTTGATAATCTCATCTAGTTTGATGGCTTTAATATCACCCATATGCTAATGGCTCCCAAATTTATATCTTTGGCCCCAGCTCCCTTGAAGTCCAGGCTCATCTATCCAATGATCCACTCTACTGCACATTCAACAGACATCTTGACTTTAACAGGTCCCCTGCTAATTTCTTGATCTTTTCCTCCTACACCAGCTCCTCCAGTAAGTCTTTCTCTATCTCAGGCCAAAAACTAGAATCATCCTGGACTTCTCTTCTTCTCTCATGCTCCAAATCAAATTCACAGCAAGTCCTATAGGGTCCCTCTTCAGAAAATACCCAGAATATCACTGTATCTCACCAGCTGTACCCTCCACTATCAGTTCCACTATGTTCCAAGACCTCATCATCTTTTAAATTACTGCAGTTGCCCTGGTAACCAGTCTCCCTGTCTCCGCTCTTGACATAGCAACCAAGGGACTCCTTTTTGAGTGTTAGTCATCTCATGTCACTCCTTTGCCCAAGACCCTCCACTGGCTTACCGATTACCTACAATGAACACCGAAGTCCCAAAAGTGACTTGTAAGGCTGGACATGAGCTGGCTCCCCATGACTGCTCTGACACCTTCTCTTATATTCTCACCCCTCTCCCTCCCACCCCCGACATGCTCCTACATGCTCCATTGAGCCAAGCCTGATCATCATCTCTGCCCTTTTGGGTAAATTCTCCCCTAACCTTAGAGCACTCCAGAAAAAAATTTACTAGGTATCACTAGTAAAATTTTTTTTTACTGGTCATGGGAAGGAAGACACTTTATCCTAATTGTGACAGCATGGTCATTTTTAGATGAGCCTGCATGCTAATTGTAGTTTCACTTTGAGTCATTATCATGAACATCATGGCATCCTGCTTAGAGCTCTTACAAGACTCCAGGACCTCAAGAGGGATATTTCAGCCCATACTTTTGGGCTTAGTAGGCAAACTTTTAGGATGTTGAACTTTTTTCAGTGTTCAGAACTTGATCATTAGCACGTTTATAAGCATGGTGCGTCTTGTGAATGTCAGCGTGACATTTCTGTTACATGGCAGCCTTTCTGCCTAGCCCTCCCACTCCCTCAATCCCCTCTCCTCTAAGCTCGTGTGGTCCTGTGTGATCCCGACCAGGCACGCCCCCACTCCTCCCACACCACCCTCATGCACAGCAACCTGAAGACTGTAGATTTCTGCTCTCTTTTTCTTACAACAATGCATGAGCTCAGATTTTATCTGTTTCTCCTTAGAGGGTGAGATCAGGGAA